GATGCTGCTTCTTGCTTTTATAGTCGATGTTTTAATGGAAATGGGTATACAGTAAAAACTGTACAGTTCCATGTTTAAAATCTTAAAGTATTGGTTAACTTCAAATTTTTTAATTTCTTTTAGACTTATGGAATCAATTTTGAAAATAAGTTCAGAACTTCAGTTTGCTAAACTCGATATATTAACAACTATTAATTATATTCAAACACTTAAAAGTTCTTTAATATTTATGAGAAATAATACATATTTTAATCTAATCTAAAATATTCAATATACCAATTGATGAATAGGAACTGAAATTAAAATTCTCAAACATATGTATGACGCACCAAATGGTACATTCAGTGAATCTGTGTATGAGTGGTTAGACTGGTTAAAAGAGTGTGGTCAGTTCATTGTTTTTTGTATTAAAAATGTTTACCATTATACCAATTGCAAGTTCTACATGTGAGAGGATATTTTCCAAAGCATTGTAAAAAATAAACTTGGATTTACTGTACTAATGGGCTAAATTAGACTAGAAGAATCTAATATTCACAGAATAAAAAATAGCTCGTAAATTAAATTTTAATGAAATTATTGACGAATTCAAGAACGTTAAAGCTTTTAAACGTCGATTATCATTATAAGAGATTGTATACCTATATGTTGTTATGTAATATTTATTGCGAAGAGTAAAATAAAAATAAATTATTTTTAGTGCATTTTATATAAATATTTTCCTGTACCTATAATGGTTTTCATAATAATTATAGGCCATAGTTTTCAGTGTGCACCCCCGGAACCAAGAGTTTGAGCATACCTATGATGGTCAATGCCAATATGCATAAGCTAGCGCGTGAATGTTAAAAATAGCAGCATTATCGCCGCTATTTGTTTATCTCTTTTAGAAGGTTCTAGTATAGTATCGTGTTCGGTCATGGAAATACCCGAAATACCTCATGCAATTAAACGTATTTAAGTTTATTAAAAATTTATAAATAAATATATTACAAAATTTGAACAAAACATAGCCTATAGCACTTCTGGAATCATGAGCAATATTAAAAAAAAAATCGTGAAAATCCGATGAGTAGATTTTTAGTTAAATCCTAACATACGTACAAATAATTTTATATAATAGTATAGATATAGATAGAGCGTTCGGTGCGCCATGCGTAGCTGTTATTATTATTACTATTATATATTATAAAAACCTGTTATAGCCACAACGCCGGAAAGTACCGCCCGTATAAAAATAATTTGATAATAGCACGGTACGACAAACCACGGAACGAACGAAAAATGAAACACAAAACTGCAGTTTGTAGCTATGTTTCTCTTGCACTCCGTATATAACCAATGCGTGCGAGTGAGAGGTCCGACCACAGAGACAAAACCTAATGTACAAGACTCTTCAATATGTGTTTTTACGTATTATCTGTAATACGGATTTGTAACTCCGATTAGCTTATCAAAATTACATCATAATTCGATAATAACTTTAACTTCATCGAAAACTATTAAGTTCGTTCGGTAAACGCGTGTAGAGAATAAATTTATCTGTTTGGAGAAAATTTACCCCGTGCGACTAAAAAATAATTTCGTATTTTACATTTTTTTTTTTTTTCAATATTATTTTTCTTGGTCTCATTATAAAAAACATGGATGAAATTGAGACGACGGATTGAGTGTCTATTAGAAAACACTGAAGAAGATGATTTATTAGAAGGCGTTTCAAGTGATGAAAATGATGATAGTACACTAATATATGAACCTCATGATCAAAATACGGATACAGAACCAGGGCCTGATTTAATAAAATTAGGGCCAAGAGCACAATTTTTTTTGGGGCACCCAAAGTCAAAAAAAACTTCATAGAGGAGAAACATTTTGATTGTAAAAAAAAATATTTACATATTTAAAAGTGTCAAATACTTATCTCAAAACTTATAAAATTTTAAAATCGAATGATATATAAACCAATGGTTCTAAAAGTGGTGATTGCATGAACGAAATGATCATAGCATCACCAACGACGGGTAAATCTGTAAATACTTTGCTCGAATAAATCTATAAATAGTTATTAGGTATCAAATACTTCCGATGTTCAAACAATTTTCTATTATTATTATTTTAATATTTTGTGATAATAACTAATTAGAACTGGGATGTGAGATGACAAAAATAACCAAAATTCAACTGAAAATTTAATGATAAAAATATACTTAACTCTAAACATTGAGAGTTGGTATTAGGTATATTTTACAAAATGAATGTTTGTAGAATTAATTTAAAAATACAATTTTCTATAATTTATGGAGATCAGGGGGCCCCAGAAATTAGGGTCCAAGTGCAAGTGCTCCATGTGCACTTATGTAAATCAGGGTCTGTACAGAATAGTCAATATCTAGTGCTAGTTCAATCGATTATATTTCTAATGAGTCAGATTCTGAATATTCGTATCATGAATCTGATGATGATTTACCTTTATCTATGAAGCGCAAATTTTTAATTGGAAAAAAGACGTAACAATATGAAATAGAAAAAGTAAGAATCACAAATTATATTAAAGTTACGGAGAAATTGGGAGTTAAGCTTGCGGCTAGAAATGCAAAAACAAATTTTGTAGTGTTGGTTGTTATTTTTTTCAAGTGAAATGTTGAAACACATAGTAAAAATGACATATACATATATTGTATATTATATAATACTATATAATAGTATTGTATTACCTTATTGTTTTTATTATTTTTTCATCCGTAGTACTATTTTTCATAATTTTCTAATTTTTATTTATAAAACTAAACACATACCATGTAAATCATATATAATTATTTGTAAATGTTACTAGCTATATGGATAATTCAGGTATTTTGCAAAATGCCTAGGCCCATTTTAGGCAAAGTAAAAGTATAAATAAGACATATAATTTTCAATATTATTTTACATATAACCTAGGCATTTTATAAAATACCTAGACAATGTAAATTGCCAATTTTTTTTTAAGCAAAGTACAAAACATTTTAATAATGTTATATTACATTAAGATTCTTAATAATTATTATACATTATTACTCATATTACAGACAAAATTTAATTTTTATCTATTATTATAATATTACTATTATATAAATATTTTACTTAAGCTACTATTTACTTATTATAACATGTTGTAGAAAAGTGACATTTTGAAGTACAAAATATACAGCAAATATACTTTTTATTTTGACACTTGGACTTACAAACACATTTTAAAAATCCTTGGTCAATTCTTGTTAAATGAATTTTTATCAACTTATTATATTGTTCATCATATAAAAAACTAGTATTATTGGCCAAATTTTTAAAAAAAATTTATAGTTTGTTATAAAAATTTGACTTCATATCATGGACGAGTTTAAGGGAGTGATTAAGGGAAGATTAGCCCCCCCCCTTTGGGACTAAGCTATCTATTTTACAAAGCAAAATATTATTATAAATTAATAATTATAGTAAAATATCGTCAATGGTCATTGATGAATATGGTACCTATTTTATATTTTTTTTATAAATAGCTCACTTTTTTTGTTAATTATATGTATTTACCTATATTTTAAAATGGTTTCCGATTAAAATTGATATCAATAATGTAATTATGTAAACTTTGTCATTATTGTGAAAAAAATGACTTACCTACTTATGAGGGATTCAAAAACATATTCTGTAATTTAAAATTTTATATAGATTTAAAAAAAAAACTAACTTAATTCTTAAGCCTCCATTAGCCCCTCCCTTGGTTAGTGATAAAACCTGCCCCTGCTTCATATAAATTGTATCCTTAGTTGCAACATCACAATGAGACACAAAAATGACAAGAAAGATAACGATATTATAATAACATTATTAGTATGCTTAATATTGTACTTCAGATTTATTATTATAGTAGTACAAGAATCTTAATCTTTATTGCGTTAAATCGTGCAAGCACATTTTTGATAAACAGTAAGTCGTTGTTAATGGGCCATGCCCAATTTTGTTTATTTTCATCATATTGCCTACTCCATGTTTGGCATTATACATAATACCTAGGCAAAGCTCGTATTATATACATTCAGGGCTGGGCAGTTTCTTAGATACTAGTATTTAAGATATGTGTCTGAGATACAATTGTATCTTTTATCTTATATCGAGATACATTATTTTAATATATCTTGCATCATGGATTTAAATACTTGTTTGACTTGTATCTAGTATTTTATTATGATTAAAGATACAAGATACAATCTAATGTTATGTAATAATAATTACTAATAATTTAAATTTAAATTTTTCAAGTCGAAAGCAATCACTTGATAAATTAACAATATATACAATATTTGCTCATAATAAAGATAATTTTTAATATAATCTTCACTATGAGCAAATTTTGTAATTTTGTAAATCCAGTTTATCGGCAGAATGTTTTATTAATTTTAACATGTTAAACATTTATTTTGGACAGCGTGACTGTGCGATGACCGGTTACTTTTACTATAATACTCCATAAAATTTTTTTAAATTTAAACATGTAATAGTTAATAAATAAACATTGTAATTTATAAATATATTTAAATTCTTTTTTATTGTATCTAATGTAAATAAATAAACAAATAAATAAATATATAAAGTGTCTTGTATCTTGTATCTAGTATCTTTAAAAATATCGAAGTATCTTGTATCTTGCCCAGCCCTGTATATATTGCCGGTAACATATATATTAACTATAAGTATTAAAAGTTACAAGTACAAATTAAAAGTAATAATTTAAGTATATTTCATATTATGAAAAATTTTTACCCCACAACCAAATGTATAAAAAAAATTACGCGACCAGTAACGAAAAAATCATATTTTATTGTAATTTAATTTATTTGGCACCTAAAAAATGTATAATTATTAATATTTTTTAAATAAAAAACAAAAGTACAGTTATAAATTAATTTATATGTATCTATTTTATAATATACTAATATGTCAAGTGAACATTTTAAATAACTTACCAAATTATGTTCTCTTCTTGTCAATTCATGACCTTTAATTTTTTTGAGACCTAGTTTAAAAGAGATTTTTGCATTGAGTCCTAGAAGTTTAAAACCATGATAATAATGCATCACTTCATCTATAATTTTCTGTTTGATTGTCTTTTTAGATTTGACAGTTACAACTTCTTTCCCTCCAGTTCCTTTTTGTGCTTTTTCCTTGACAGCATTAACAGTTTCTTCAACTTTAGAAGATGGTTTTTCAGAAAATAAAGTTGTTGTGGAAGATATTTGACGAATATTAGGGTTGAAAAATTCTAATTTGGTTACAATAAGGGATGAAACAGGATGAAATCGATTTGAGGAGTAAAATAAATTGTTTGAAAATGTACATGGTTGTGTATTCAAACAAATAGCACCACAGTTTTTGTTGTAAATTTTGTAGATATCTAAAACATAAAATATTTTTAGGTGAATATTCAAAGATTAAAAAAAAAATATATGGCATGTTATGTGTTGTTGAATAAAAGTATCTGAAGTTTAAAAAAGTCTTTAAATTATATACTGTTTAAGTATATCATTAGCATGTGATATAACAAGAATCTATAAATGTTCACAATTTTTATACTTAGTCTTTTATCCAAATATAATAGAATAAGTAACATTTATAAAAATAAAATAATTAATTTGAATTTTCATACAAATATATTTCAATGATTAGACTCATATAGGTAACAATTTTTAATAAATAATGATAATATAATTGACCTATTGACCTTGAATTAATATCAAGGGGTTAAACATATTAATTAAAATTATAATGACTAATAAGAACATGATTTTATCTTAAGGTTTTCATATTTATTAAAAACTATCTTTCCTAGGATTCTAATTTTATACAATAAATGTAACATACATATATTTCTTTTAAATAGTATATTTGACTCTTATGAGAATATATATTAGGGCATAAGATATATCATTATTAATTTATGATTTAATTAATACACACCTAATAATAAACATTTATTGATGAAATTATATTAATTAAATTGATAATTCAAAAATGATATACTCAAAGATCAAACTTAAGTATTTACCCAGCTGTTTTTTTATTAAAAAACTCTTTTTTAAAAACATTTATGATAAATTATTACTATTATTATTATTATTATTATTATTAAGTATAATGTGTTAATGTATTGAAATAGAAGAAATTAATTATGTATCATCAAATAGTATAAATTATTTAAATTTATATTTAATGGCAACTAATTGTAATTGTGTTGTTATAAATAAAATAAAATCGTACACTTTTAAATTGAGTTTTGGAAATAAAAGCAAAGATACAAATTAAATAATGGTATATATAGTATGTGGTTAAGGTATCTACTAAATTTAATTTAGATTAGCAACAATATAACTATAATAATATAGGTATATTTAATATAAATACAGAGAAATATAAAATCCTAATAGATTAATAAAATGGTTAATTAATTATTATAAACAAAATAACCAATAAAATGTGCCAATGAATCATTGATCTTTAAATATTAGATAGTCTATATAGTCAGATATTAAGTTACAGTATTTTTTATATTATGTTACTAATTTACGCAATGTTGAAATAACACTAAAGATTATTATTTAAAATCAATATCTATATCCAAACGTAGAATAATATAGTATGGTACATGAAAACTAATTTAGAATGGTTTCAAATTAAAAGTTATGTTAAAATGTTATAAAACTATATTATGCTATGCACCATTCAGTCTAAAAATCCATTTCAACAAGAATCAATTTATCTCTATCTCAGTATCATTGATTTGTTTTAAGTGAAAAATATTTCTATAAAATTAGATGATCACTGTCGTGTAAAGCATGAAAGATAGGGAACATCAACTTGATAACTCGACCTTGGATAGGGTATGGTGTGACAATCGAGAATCGGTGGCACGCGAGTACTCACTAAACTAATAACCACGATCAGGAGGGTCTTTCGGATTGAAACAAGTGGTATAATAAAAAAAAGCACTTATTTAACCCACAAGATATAGGTTACTCACTTGCGCCGGGTCGTAGACCTGCTTTGGCCGCTCTGGTTATGTTCATTTTGGCAACGCGTTAAACGTTTTGTTAATTTTTAAAATTGCTATCCTCAATATGACTACAGAATAAATTAGATGAAATAGATAATAGATTTTATTATGTGATAAAAAAACAATGGTGGAAAACGAAAAATTAAATTGGAACGAGAAACAAATAGAGAACGGTGTGCGAGTTCCCGGTCGGTATAGGGTGGACTAAGAAACTATCGACACACGTACATTGTTTCACTAATTTCGGCGGGCTATGGTTTCGAATGGAACATGAAAACGACAATAATAATCCACGAACCGTAGAAAACACAAGTAATGTCGTGACGAATTCGACGACAACTACAGAGCACAGGACCCGTCAATCTGTTAACGACGGCAAATGATGACCCGCGGGCAACGATGATAACACCGGTGCAAATGGTGTGATAAGGATTGTTTGTCCGTCGTCGCAGTGCAGCCGTTCGCCGGGAGAAGCACTTGTATCACATCAGAATGATATTATCATTTGCATGAGTAGATATCAAATCTCTCGATGTCTTATCAATCGTTACGATGTTCGTCCATCATAACAAAAACACGATAATACGAACATATTGTCTTCTAATTATTCCTCCCTCCACCCTTTGATTCGTTGTATTAATGTGACAAAACGCTCAGTCAAAATCTTTTTAATTTTATTTTTCATCCATCGCCTTATTGTTTTCAATAAAATGTTTTCGTAAATAGTCCGCCGTGCATCCCGGCGTCCGTCCCTATTCTCTTTCCTCGCCGCTATGCGACCAGGAATCATGTAATTGCCAAAAACCATTTGTCAATAGTGAGGACACAACGACGCCAAGTAAGCTTTCAATATCGTTTGAACTTTGGAGTTTTTCCATTATCTACCGACTTATTTTCTGTTCTATAGTTACTATAGGTTCATCATAGGACAATATAACTTTCTTCTTGTCCTTTGATTACAACACAGTGATTATTTTTTTATAGTTGTTACTATTTCAGTAATCGGAAGTTCTGTTCCTAAAATGATCACTATAGTATTCAAGAGAAACACGCAAATTACTTACTACAATGGCACCTCTACCCATTAGAAAATAAAACTAAAATTCATTTTCATTCATATTCTTCATGGTATTAACAGTAAAGGACCACTGGCTGTTAAGTTTAGGAATGGCTGGTATACCATTTCACCAGATTATAATTATTTGGTAGTTTTGTTATTATTTCTTGTGCCATAGAGTTTATTACAAATATAACATTAAATTAATTAATAGTCTAAAATGATAACAGGGAACATTTTATTGTTTTTTTTAGATCTTTCAGTTTTATTTAGTAATTCATTAATGTCATACTAATTTTCTCATTGTCACTTTTACTTTTGTGTGATAGTATACAATTTACAATAGAAATAAAAATAAATAAATTTTACTTAATAGTTAACTGCAAAAAATACTTATTAAATTAGAACTTATAAAACATGAAATAATTAATGAAAGTTCATAAGAATCACATTATTAAGTATATTAAAATGGATTGGTAGATCAGAATTTGATTGAGATATTAAATTTTATAATAATTTATAAACTTATAGAATTAAATTAAATGTTGAAAACAACCTCGGCATTTGTGTAGCAGGTGATTTACTGCAAATTTAGGATGAGTGATATATGTACAAATTAAAAAATAATATTTTTTTTTAAAGTTAAAAACACATATTTTTTATTATAAGTAGGTCATATCATACAAATATTTGTAAAACATAATTAGCCAAATATAATAAAAATTTCAATTACAGTAAACATTTATTACAGTATCATTTAAAAGTTTTAAAAAAGTATGTTGAAGATTAACTGAACTCCACCTTGCTTCAATCAGATGACAATGTAAAAGTTCTTATGTAGTGGTAAGCGTTTTTCAAAGTATTTTCATTTTAAAATGTGAACAAACAATTTGAAACTAATGGATTGAGGATTGGCAATATTTTTAATGACTCATTGTCATATTGTAAATTTCATTAATTATTGCAAAATAATGAATTCACGCAGCATAGCGGTCTGCTATAAAGTGCGGATAATAATAGGTAATAATAATTTTAGATCACCTGCTACACGAATGCTACCATTTCTATTGTATATTTTTATATCTCATATAATTTTTTTTTTTTTTTCTAACTTTTATTTATAAAATATTGTCCTAGTTATAACTAAGTTGGAAGGTTAACATCTAAAATATTTTATAAATATTTTATAGATTACTTTTCAAGACTGATTATTATGGGTGAACCATTACCAGATGTATCGAAGCACAAAGTTATTATTATTGGAGCTGGTATAGCAGGTCTTGCAGCAGCTACACATTTGTCACAACATGACATGAATGATTATATTGTGTTGGAAGCTCAAGATCGCATTGGTGGTCGAATATGTTCTACTGAAATCAGTATGATAACCTAACATAGTACATTGACATTATTAAACGCATATTGTTTATAGATGATCAAAAAGTTGAACTTGGTGCTAATTGGATTCATGGTGTATTAGGTAATCCAATGTATGAGTTAGCTATGAGCCATGGTCTTGTAGACATAAATCACCGACCAAAGTTACCTAGTATTGTTGCTACTACCATGGATGGAACAAAAGTCCCATTTCAATTATTACAAGTATGTAGTTTATTCTTTTTTAATTATCTAACATAATTAATTTAAAAAAGCAGATTTGTTTTTGTTAAAAATGATTCCTCTTGAGTAAAAAGATAATAATATATGAGAAATTTACTTAATCTATCAATATAAATCAATTTAAATAAACATTATTTTTCTAGGAAACATATGGAGCTTATATGTGTTTTTTGCGGCGGTGTGAAGATTATTTTACAGGCGCATTTGATCCACCACCTGGAATTCATAGTGTTGGAGAACATGTTCAACTTGAAATAGCAATATATTTAGAAAAGATACCAAATGCCGATACTCGTACATTACAACGATCAATTTTTAACTGTTTGCTTAAACGAGAAACTTGCATAACTGGATGCAACAATATGTCTGATGTTGATTTAGTAGAATTAGGTAGTTATAAAGAACTGCAGGGTGGTAATATTTCACTACCTGGTGGATACAGCAGTATTTTAAATCCTATATTTAATAAGTTACCTCCTGGCTGTTTGAAATTGAACTCTCAAGTAACCAAAATCAAATGGCCATCGGGAAATGATAATGGTACAGATTCTGAAGATTCTGATAAGACTGTAATTGAAGTAGATGGTCAGGATGTTACCAATGAAACCGTGTACATTCATTGTGGTGATAAGATCTACGCAGCTGACAGTATTATATGCACTTTGCCATTGGGTGTACTCAAGTCCAATGAGATTTTCTATCCAAAATTACCTAAGTATAAAGAAAAGTCCATTGCGAGACTTTTGTATGGTGTTGTGGACAAAATTTTTTTGTTCTATGACCATTCATTTTTGGGTAAAGACATGGACGAAATACTTTTATTATGGGATAATGATGAAATATGTGATTGGAGTGAAAAAATTTACAGTTTTTCAAAAATAAATGACACTCTTTTGCTGGGTTGGATATCTGGTAATGAAGCTGAAATTATGGAAAAATTAGATGAAAAAATAATTGGTGATAAATGTACAGAAATATTAAGACGATTTTTGAATGACCCTTATATTCCATATCCATCTAAATGTGTATGGTAAATATTAAATCAATCTTGTACAAATTAACTAGTGGCCATTGTGTCAATAATTGTATTCATTTTCATTGTACAATTTTTATTTTAGTACTAGATGGAAAACAAATGAATTTAGTCGTGGGTCATACACAGCTATTGGAGTTGGTTCTAGTCAGTTAGATATTGAACACATTGCCAGGCCTATGCACATTAATAATAATAAAATTGTGAGTAAAAAATAGTGTTGTCATATTGTCAATTGTTCTAACTACCTACAAAATCTATTGCATGATTACAGCCTATTATTACATTTGCTGGGGAACACACACATCCAAATTTTTACTCAACGGTTCACGGAGCATATTTGTCCGGACGTGCTGCAGCCGAAATGTTACTTGTATGTAAACGTGAAGATGAACCTCTAGATGGAGCAGACACAGATCTAAGTTCATGGATACAAAGCATACCTCTAGTATAACATTATTGTTATTTAATTTATTAATTTGTTTATTCTGCAATTGTATTTATTTGTTTTACCGAATTGTGATATTAGGTATTAGTTATTAGATAAATATAGAAATATTGCTTTTTTGACTTTGAGCGTTTAATTTTGGGATGATAGATTGTATTTAAAAAACTATTTTTACCAAAAGCTAAAGTCATCTTTATTTTCTTAAATTTTTATCAATTTGTAAAGAATTTTTAATTATTTTTCTTTTGTTGACAAATAATGTTTGTATTCTGAACCATGACAATTTTTTTTTAATATATGCTTAAATTTATTTTTTGTGTTCCTTCTCTTTTTTTTTTTTTTTAAGCTTTGTAAAATGTTTTTAGTAAAATATAGAATTAAATGTCTTAGCAATTTTAATTTTATAGATTAATTTAACCTGTAGAAAAAATGTATTTATCTCATGTGTACAGTACACATACACTATACTAATACTACTAATATATGTACTACTACTTCATTAACTATAAACAGTTGAATTATTTTCAAAATTTGATTCAAATTCAATAACAATATAACATAGTTGATCAGTTATGTATAGAATGATTAATTTAAATGTCTATACTTAAAACGTATTTAACATGTAAATTTAACTACTCTTAAAATAATATTAAAACTGGTTTTCACTATTCTGTACTAAATCAATTAATGGGAACTTTATACTACATTAACAGTAAGATGGCTGAATGGCCAAGAGTTTTTGGTTAAAAACAGTATCGTAATATTTGTATTCGCTTGATTTAGTTCATTTTGCAATATTTACCTAACCATATTAATTATCCACAACTGTAATTCTATACATTACATTATCTTAAGCCGGGTACACACCAGAGCATTTAGGTGTAATGTAACTGTAATGCTCAGATGTGTACGGTGTTACTGTATTATTTGCATGTGTTCGGCTCGCGACGCCATCGATCCACCCAAGTGTCGGTTTTTTGACGAACATCAAAGGAATGTTACATTACGACACGACGCAGTATGGACGGTTAAACTAAAAATGGGCAAAAAGTTTGAAACATCGATGTTGATGATCGATAATTTCGACAAAAACATCGATGTTCACCTTAATAAGTTTTATATATACATATACGTTTAAAAATATAAATTGTAGTAATAGGTATAAATAAAATAACTGCATGATGTTTCATCAGTTATCAATATTCTTATTCTTAGTAATTTAATGGTGACAATGCAGTATAGACTATAAACAATAAAGTCAATAATAAAGGGAATAACAAACCCAGGTACTTTTCTTTGAATACACATGGACATTGGACACTGTAATTCATCATGGTTCTGATAATCTATAGTCATGCGTTCCAGGAATCAATCGACATTTTAAACAGCCATAATATTATGACTTGTTTAATAATACTGAAAAAGTTTTCAAATCTAAAATTTAAAATGTTTTAATAAATACGATATTATACTTATAATATATACTATACAATATTTAAACATCGGCCTTTGGATTAGAAAAAAAATCGATTATTTTTTCAATACATCGCAATAAAAAAATCGATGTAGGGTTTCGGTATGTCGAACGAAAACATTTGTTTTTAAAAAATCGATGTATTTTGCCCATCTCTACTGTAAACCAGTTGCTCGCAGTGAATCGCCCGATGATATCGTCGGATATAATCGCCAGGATTATTATTCGTATGTTAAAATATTATAAAATTAATTAAAATCAATGAATACAATAATATTATTAAAATATTATTATTATTATTATTAATATTAATAAAATTAATGAAATTTATTATAATATAAATTAATAAATTTGTATTATTTAATTTTAATTTAAAAATGGAGTGGAATAATAGTAGTATGTATTTATATGTTCTAGCTCCATTTTTTACAGGGAGATTCAAAATATTTGACCGACAAACCATAGACATAATATAATATTATAATATTATAATATTATAATAAAATTATATTATGTCTATGCGACAAACACACGGTAAAATTTTTAGTTACCGTGTAAAAATGTACACTAAATATTTTTTACGCATTTTTTTTATTTGACTAAAATAATTTTTACATATATTTTTACACATTTCGATTTAACATTTGTATAATCTTTAAAATAATCCACGAAAATCACAACCACCGAATAATCGAATTCAGATTTGACTATAGAGGCATAAAAGAGTCGTTATAACGGCACACGTCGGACAGCTTGTAGTAGGCTGATGTACTCGTAACGTCGAACTCAAAGAGTCACTGGAACTTTACCATCTGCACACTAAACTCATCGTACCCATAATCCATCGTTTTTGTGGAACATGATCACAAATTGTATTTTACGAATATACTACAAGTCTATTGTAGGAAATTTTTTATATATTATATATCATAGTGTAGCACTGTTTTATTTTTATTTTTTTTCATATATTATTCATTTATAACAAATATTTTTTATATTAGAGTCAGTTCGCTATAAACTACTGTTTCGATAACTTGTCTGTATTCGTATAAGTTTGTAATTTCTCAGAGAAAATCGATCGTTTTATTGTAATGTATCAAGTTAGCTATACAAGTGATTGTAATAACTTATTTTATGCAGTTAAAACTGTTCAAGTTCTCAACATCCAGAATATTCAACATTTACGAAACGGTTTCAATCACTCAAGAACTTTCCATTGGCCTTACCTGATAAATTAAAATTATCTGAGACAGGATTTTTCAGTAAAACCAGAAACACAGTTCAATGTTTCTATTGCAGCTTAGTATTAAGTAATTGGGTTAATGGAGATTGTCTGTATCGCAAGCATGCAAATTTTTCAAACAAATGTTTATTCTTATTAAAAAAAAAAAAATAAAGGTATAAATTATATATATATTATATATTATATTCTATATTATATATATTATATTAGTATTATATTAAATTATAAGTAAGTAAAGGTATAAATTTTATATACGATGTTATTAATTCATTTAAATATAAGGGTTTAAATTCTAACTGTTGTAACATGCATAATTGTTACGATGAAGTTGATAAATAAAAAAAATTATATGTTTTGAAATTATATATAAAATGATAATTATTACTATTTGTTGAGTGGAATCGGATTATAAGTAGATACAGACACGTTTAGGTTAAATTAATAAACGATTTAATATCGTGAATAATAAAATGATACACAACGCACTTCGTACAACGGCAACCGGTCGCATGTCTCGACAGACTGCCTCCGTATAGCTGGGTTATAATATTTGTATATATGCCACACTCGACATAGAGAATGTGCCATCTCAACATTAATTGCTGACTATACTAATGTATATATATATACTTAAAACTACAGTATGAATATAAATTAATACATACTAAATATACTGGGTGTATTGTTTAATTTCAACACTATTTAAATGCTATAATTCATTTCAATTTATTTGTGAACACTGTGTTCTATAGGTATAAGACGTCACTTTCAAAGATAAATATGTTAAGTTTAATAGGTAGGGATAGAATTCTTAATGTAAGTAAGTGTTAAAATAAAACGCCTTAAACCATTAAAATACAATGTTCACTTTTATTTTTGACGGTATATAAATAAAAAAATTGTTTCATTCGCATTATTTATGTGTTTAACATCAAGGGAGTTAGACTGTGTTAACTGTATTACAATTTTAAAATTAATTAAACGTATTTTAGAAAAAAGTCATACAATTAAACGACGTACATCTACCAAAATCAAAAAAGTTCCGTTACGTTTTTGCAATATTTATAATATTTTAATTTTTTTAGTGCGTTTAATCAAATATGTCTTCACTAGTTCCAGTTTCAACAGTTGCTAAATCAAAATTTGAAATTTATAATAAAGAGTATTTTTCAGTTAGATATTTAATTGGAAAAGAAAATTAAATTGCTGTATTATTAGAATCGAACAGAAATGTTTTAACTCTGGATTTAACAAATTGGAATGAATGCGTGAATCTAATTTTAATTTGATTTTAAAAAATGTACAAGCACGGCACAAGTCTTCAGTTCAATTAAATGACAATTTATGTTATTCAATAAATGCAAAATACTCTTCAATTATATTAATATTGAATAATAATACTTTGGCATCAAGTATTATTGATCTTTGTCGTTTAAAACAAATTCAAATTTGTATAGAATCAAATATTATAGAAAAACAGAAAAAAATTAATTACTATCAAAATTGCTATAATTTGTTCTATTCAACATTAAAAGAATCCATTTCAAATCTTCCAGCAAGCTGTCAATCAAATGCTTTTACATATCAATTTATACAAAATTATGGTTATGACTCAGATTTAGAATGTATGTCTTTAGTAAACGAAATTCAGCAGTTTCAGTACATACCATTGTCAAATCTAATATTGCAAGATTTATATCAATAGAACAATAATTAAAATATTGAAATATTATTTAAATTATGTTATTATCTGTTAAAAACACTACTAATTTATATTGTATATTGTATAGTTTACTGTATGTTATCACTCCGTAATTGTATATTATTATAATTTAAAATTTAATAAATTAGTTAACATCAAAAAAAGATGGTTATATATTTATTTATTATCGCATGATAAATTATTTACTTTTGTAGCATTTATTTATCATTTTTTATAATTCTCAATTAAGATTTTTTTTTCATCAGTATAATACTAAAAAATATTACATTTTTTTTTTAAAAAAAAATTTAAATGCAATATTCAAGTATAAACTTAAATTTTTATTATTTCAAGATATAATTTTTCAATTAATTTTAAATTTTTATTCGTCAATATCTTATTTTTCGGGTCAACCATAAACCGATCCAAAATGAGTTCGATAATAGATTGCAGCTGATTGCTTATATTTTTGTCGTTGCTTTTCTGATCTGATTTAGTCATTTTGATTAGACATTCGTCATGTTTCCACCTAAAAATTGAAAATGGTTAATGCACAATTATTTAATATTCCATATTTAATATCACCTTTCCTGAGGCAAAACATTAGTAATTTCTTCAGTTTTATAACGCTGAATGACCCAATAGTCCTCGCCAACTAGCGCCGCGGCACACCGGACATTTTAGTGTATAATTCTTCTCCCCTTGCCTAATTGTAATCTGTCACTGTTTTATGATATTTTCCAGATTTTATAATCATACCTAATTTTTCTTTATATGATACAAACTAAATATAAAAATAAAAATATGAATTAGTTCAACAATTAATTTTTGTGACAAATTTTTAAAAAAATACTTTTTCGGTTTTGATTTTTTTAGTTTCTATGTTTTTCTTTTTTCTTTTAAGTTTTAAATTTTTTTTAATTTTCTGTTTTTTATGTATTTCGTTATCCATTTGTATACTTGAATTGGTCTATAATAAATATGAAAACGGATTACAATACAAAAGAAGAATTTTTTTTTTTAATTTATATACATTAAGTTCTGATTTATGAACATTTTTATTGATAGTAGATATGTAGTTTGATAAAAGAAATATTAACGATTTGTTACAATGAGAATGTGTAAAAAATAGATATTAATTATAATTATACTTATATCACTGATATTTGAAGAGTCCTCAGTCAACTCCGAATATTCAAAAGTTAACATGTTTCTACAAATAATGAGAAAGTATTAAGCCGGGTACACACCGGAGCATTTAGGAGTAATATAACAGAGTTCGTACTCGCTTGGATGTTACATGTTACAAACGACCGGTGTGTACGTTTAGGGTCGAACACTACTCTTTAATAGAATCAATGGATGCTCGTTTTAATCAAAGGCTTATTGATGTTATACCACATGAAGGACTTATTCCGGCCAATTTAAATATGTATGACGATGAAAATATTATAAAATCTGCTAAAATATATGCCCAAGATCTCCATGATGATACCTCATCTGCAATCAGAGCTGAGCTGTTCATATGGAGGCAACAATGAAGTCAAAACCGAATTCTGCGGTTGATTCACTCTCTCATTGCACCAATCTTCAACCTAATATTAAAATACTTTTTTTAACGTGGTGAATAATTGAAAACATTAAAATACTTTTACAATTATTCACCACGTTACCAGTTACCTCTTTCACTCCGGAAAGAACATTTTCTGCACTTAATCGTTTAAAAAATTATTTAAGAAGCACCATGTTAGAAAACCTACTGAATGGGTTAGCTATGGCTAATATAAATAAAAAAGAGCAATTCAATGAAAGTGAAATAATAACTGAATTTTCCAGAAATTCGCCTAAGAAGATGCAGCTGTCAGAGTGGAGTAAGTGACTGAACACTGAAACCAAAATTATTATTATTATAAATTATATAATAATAAATATTTTTAAAACTATACTAAATGCTTGAATTAAATTAAAAACTTGGTGGTAGATGGTGACAAACGAATTTCATGAAGTATAGAGACGTATGTACTTTTTCATTATTCCACTACATTTTAAAATTAAGATTAAATAATACAATTTTATTAATTTATATTATAATAAATTTCATTAATTTTATTAATATTAATAATAATAATAATAATAATTTAATAATATTATTTTATTCAATAATTTTAATTAATTTTACATTAATTTAACATCAACATACGAATATAATCCGGGTGATTCATTACGAAGCAACTGGTTTACCGCCGAACAAGTGCGAATGATACAGTAACATTGTACACATCTGAGTATTACAGTTACATTATAGCATTACATTACACCTAAATGCTCCGGTGTGTACCCGGCTTAAGGTTGTGGTTCTTAACCGGTTTGAATATTGATGTGCAATTTAGGTTAGGAAAAAACCGTCGAAGTCAGGTTTTTATTTATTGACTATACCGTTTTAAACATCTTATATATTGCACCCCTAGAATACAAACGGTATAACTCAAAAAAATATCGATTTTGAGTTGGTGCCACTGTTGAAACTGCGGGATAAATATTTATTATTTGCGCTCATATCTTTTTTCTATCTTATTTCGTAATTGATTCGAAGTAAAATATGATAAAAATATAAAATATACTTGCTTAATAGTAAAGTTGATTTATTTATTTATTTTTTTTTTTGTAGTGTTGAGTATTAGGGAATTCTTAAACTCCTATAAAAATAGAAAACAATGATTTATGACAACTAAGTAAAAAGTCAAAATATCCAAAAAATGATATATTGTCAGACGGTTTGTGAAAATTCTTAAATCTTTAATAGCATTTTCTCAGTTATTACTATTATTATATACTGAGTTATACTGTTTCTATTCTATAGGTGCGATATATTATCATTGATTATAAATAGAGGACTTTTGAAAATAAGATAAGGAGAAGAATATGTGGCCCAATCAGGGATCCGAGGACCAGCCAATGGCGCAGGAAGTTCAACCAAGAATTAAATATAGTTACAGTTAATGAATTCATAAAGAGTCAAAGGATAAAATGGCTAGGACATGTTATGCGGCGTAACACAGATGCATTAACCAAGGTAGCATTAATGGAAGCCGGAAGGAAGAAGGCCACGGGGTCGTCCTCGGAAATGATGGATGGATGTCGTGGAAAAAGATTTGGAAGACCTTGGAGCACAGAATTGGAGGGAGATAGTACTGGATCGAGATAAGTGGGATGATTTAGTGATGGCGGCAAAAACTCTTGGAGAGTTATGAAGGCCAGAAGAAGAAGATTATAAATAGTACTAAACTATTTATAACTAACTATTTATAATCAATGATAATTCATAACAATTTTTAATGGAATTATTGAAAAATTGGAAACGACGATTCTAATTTAAAACTGGAGACAGTTCAAACAGTATTTCTAGAATGATACAATTGTACAAAACAGACAGTATAATGTAGGGCTTAAAACCGTTCCTAATAAAGTTGGTAATCGGCTCGGCAAAAGTAAAACATTTTTTAAACCGGTAACCGGTTATCGTTTAATTTTGATATAATGGTAACCAGTAACCGTATCTGGATAAAATCAACTTCTCGGTATCTAACGGTATCAAACGGTTTAAGGTATATCTTAAATCGTGGTCTTATATATATCTATGGTCAGGACGATTATAGATAGTACTACTTACTAAGATAATACTATCTTAATCACGATTTAAAATATATTTTAACGGTTTCACGAGCCATAGAGTACCTAATATTACTCTATGATCAGAGCATGAAGACTAGAGATATTTCTAGACGTCAGTAAATTCAAATGGCTGCATGAAGGCTGATTAACGGTGTCATATATTCCTTATTAGTCACAGTTTATAAAAATCCATTATTAAATTAAATTTTAATTTTAATCGAATGAAAATTAATGTAATTCCACAGAATATGACGGTGAAGTTGGTGTAACCGCGGCGGACCAATGAAGGACGCGATCATGCGTAATTTGATAAGACGTGATAACTGATAGCGTCACCCGTACGTATCGTCCCGAGTTTTGCCCCATGTCTTGCAATCCCGGTTACTTTTCCTGCTACGTAACTTATCTCGAATGGATCCTGCTACAGCTATTCGACGTGCGTGTCTGAATATTTGATACGCCGTTACAACGACAGCTTTTGTGCGGCACATTGAACGCAACACAACCGAAATCAGTCTTTTTCCTTGCCCCGGTCCATTCGCATACCCGTTTGCTTTTGTCGTAGGGCCGCCTGTGTACGCCCACGCTGCTTTTCACCGGCCGTTGGCACCGCCGGACACACTTCGGCTATGGCTGGCAGATCAGGAGGACGTAACTTTAACAACAGATTCCATCACACCAATCACCGTGAGTACCACCATAGCTGTGTTTACTAATCTGTGCGATGAGTCTACTGCTAAATGTTGGTCGTCAGGATTTTGGCAATCGTTTAATGTTTAGTTATCTAGAAAATAGTTTTCTGGTTTCATTAAATTTGTGTGTGTAGGCTCTGCCTGCACTGCACGATAAACAAAACTTATTTTTCATGTCTCACAATCTTGATATTCATTGATCATTACCGCATCTTGTACATTGTTAGAAAAACTTTTATTATGTATCACTTATGTTTAATGAATGAAAATGTATTAACAGATAGTGGCGCCAAAATCCTTAAAATTTAGTCCAGCAATGGCACCATTGATTTACCAATTGTGAGGGGGATAGTTCTTTTTACTTAAAAAATAATGATATTAGGCTTTAATTTTGTAATGTAACTTTCACATGGTTTGACAGTCAAAATTTAGCCCAATACCTTTAAAGTGAACACATCTTACATTTTCTAAAGGTGTCGGGCCAAGGCCTGACCTCAATACAGGGTTGAGTGCCTATGTTTACACTATAGTACTTAATGTGGATATTATCACTCTGTGGAGGGTGATATGCTGATGTTGAGCATATTATATGTTAAATTTATATTAAAATTTAAAACTGAAATACAGGTATTTTGCTGATCTTTGCACCATGACTTATTTGTTATAATAGTTTTCAAATAGTATAATTTCATCTATTGATCTATAAAATAAATTTTAGGGAATATAATATAAATTCCTATCGCCTAAGTCGGCATGTGTTAGATTATCTGTAATTGTTTCAAATTTATTATCTTTAATATATTATTTTCAAGGGAACCATTTAATTTTTTTTTTTTAAGGGGTATTGATAAATAATTTGCATCTAAAGGGGACAGCTTAATAGAAGTTAAAAATCAATTGTTTATAGCCCTTGGAATATTTAAAAATGTATCAGTTTTTTAATTTTTTATGAATTAGTTGCGCTCAATTGTTCTATTCAGATTGATTTGGTTCAGATCGTTACTAAATATTAATCAATAAGTTCAATTTGATTAATTCCTTAAATATTAATAAGAAATTGAGTCACAAATTTTCGTTTTTTTTTTAACTTGTAGTAAGTGAAGTTTACATTTTTAAAAATTACTGAAAAAATATAATAAGTGTAGCTATATATAAATAGTGTATGTTCATAAATTATGATAATAAATAAAGAAATTTCTAATGAGTTAAGTGGAGAATGTGAATTTAATTGAAATTGAATTAAAGAAGATAATGTGAGATTGACTTTCCCCAGGCATTAGAAGGTTATAAGATTTTTTTACTATGCTCACTTTTTACTTTTCCATAAATAGTCTTTATTTATTATTTTTCTTTATTATTTATATATTTATTTTATTATAGAATACTTTTTTGAAAATTGTAATTCATACATATACACATTTATTATACATGGTATAAGAAAATAAATAAAATTATAAAATAAAGTCTTTATGTTATATAATAAAATATTTTTGATAACTAAAATTTTTTTTTCGGCCCTGGACCGATTCAAGTTATTGAAGTTACACTGTATATAAAATGTCACTAATAATTTAAAATGTAAATGAGATTATTGTTTATAAATTACTCTTGTTATTATTTGCAGTTCTGTTGTGGAGAGTCAATAACTTTTGTTTCATAGTATGATTATTTTTAATAATTTTTTTAATTTTAGGTAAGGAACATGATGATCGATCATCTAGACCAAGCACTAGTCAGGGAGGTGGTGGTTATCCAGATCGACATGGTTTTAATAAAAAAGTGACATTTAAAGCAAATAATCGTGGTAGTAACCATTTTCGTAAAAGCTGGGAAAATAAAACTGATTTCGTTCGTGAGCAATTGGAAATCAATGAATTTTCTAACCGAAATGGACAATCTAACAGAAGTAGTTCTGGTCGAAGGTATTTTATTATTTTTAAAATAATTTATTGAATATTAATTAAACATAATTATAAAAAAAAATAACTAGGTCTTATCCTGAAAGGAATTATGGCCGTGGTGGTCATGGTAATTTCAGAAATTCACAATGGGCTTTAAAAAAAAGTAGCACGGGATGGTATTCTGTATTTGTAAGTTCTTAATTTTTATATTGTATTTGTATTCTTGATTATAAATATTTTTGATTTTTTTAGGTACCAAATATTGACGATTGTGATGAAGTCCTGAAAATAATTCAAACCTATATTACACCTATTGTTTTTTATCCATACAATGTTAGCCATGTCTGTATTATCTTTTGCTTGTAAAATGTAACAATGATTTTATTTTACAGAAACAATATTTTGATAATGCATTAAGATTTCTTGTTGACGATTTTAAAATTGCCAAAACATTGCAAAATACCAGTTATAAAATAACACTTAGAGATGACCGAAAAGTAAATTGTGATATATTTGATAATTTAAGTGTATTGCTCATAATCTCAATTATTTTTGTTTAGTTGATTATTAAAGTTGTTCCTTACTTTCCTCCTCGTGGACCAATATCGTTTACACCTGTGTCTAATGAAGTAAAAGAAAAAATGATTGAAGCAATGGCAATTCGTTACAATTCTAGTACCAAAAGTTTAGATTTATCACGGTTTTATGCATGTTCATGTATGTATAAGTATATTTTGCATGAAGTCAATAAAAGTCTTATTAATATCCAACTCCTAATAATTGTTTTTATTTGTTTTAGTATTTACTGATAATCAATTGTTTGTACCACTAAATCGACCAGCAGTTCTTTTAGCTGCATTAAACATTGTAGCTCAGCATACCAAACATGACTTATATGGTCTTAGTCTTGAAAATAATCATATATACCTAGGAGAAGGACTCATATGGATACGTAGATTGTTTCCTGAATTAAAAGTGTTAGATTTGGCAGGCAACAAAGTAAAATATAAAGCAATTTAATTTTAATGTACCTGCATTTTGTTAAAATTAATTTTTTTTCAGTTTTATGATCTAAAAGAGCTTAAATGCCTCACAGGTTTCACTATTGAAGTTCTTAATTTGTCAAGGAATCCAGTGTTTGATATAGAAGACAAAGAACGTTACAGACTGTAAGCATATTTCTTATAAATCTTAAATTTCTGTTTACATGTTTTATTATTATTTCAGGGATGTACAACAATTATTTCCTATGCTAAATAAATTGGTAAGTGTCATATATTTTATCTTATTGCGCTTGTACATTCTAAATGTATGCAAAGAACAATAAGATAGATGTTTCTATTGTACTAGCTTAACAGTATTGTGATAATTTTTGATTTTTAATAAGATAAAGTGTCTATAATAAGTAAGAATGGGCCAATACTACTTTTTACTGATACCTGATATACCGATATATAAAACCGATAACCGATATCATAATCACAAGTAGTTTTTGCGGTATCAGTTCAAATATCGGTTTTGAAAATAAACTGATACCGATATTTCCGATATCACCAATATCGGCTGATACCAAGTATCGGTTTTAAGATCGGCCCACCCCTAATAATAAGTACACCTTACCTGATTTAAATTTTGAATTATAATCATTTATGATACTCTGTGTTAATTTAAAATTAGATGGATCTAAGTGAATAAGTTGTAACATTCTGAAAATTAGTAAATGCTTGAATTTTTAGTTGAGAAAAAATGTACATTGAAAGATATTATTACTTATTTTGTCAGTTCAATTAAATATAAACAAATATTAATAAATTCATTCATTTTTATTTTTAAACAGTTTTAAGTTGATTATTGCAATTATGTTATGTTTTAATTATTTAGTTTAATTTTTAATTTCAATTTATGTTTCAATTTGTAATTTTCTATTTCAATGCAAATTAATGTATACTGATGAATATGTTGTATCATTTTATGTGTGTTAACTGATACCGTTTATTTAATATTAAAGGTATTAAATCAAGGCTTACCTTATTTTGTGCTTCTCAACCTATTTTTGTCATAATATTATATCAAATTTAAATTAATTAAAGATAGATACTTTTTTTAAAAAATAGATAAATTGAATATTTGTCATAGTGTTCAATTTATCAATTTTTTTTATTAGCATGCTATGAATTGTATTGTTTAAGGATTATTCAGTTCATATTATTATTTTTCATAAAAAGAAGAGCATTGTAAAAAGTTCACTTAAATATTATTCCTTTAAAAAAATATTCTTTAACTACTTGTGTGTGAGACAGTTAGTTGGTACATTGCGTTAGTAATAATAAATAATCAATCACTCTACTCAATTTCCAATCATTGTTTTTTTTTTTTATTCAACTAAAAACAAATAGGATAATAAATTAATGTATTTTAAAATTTTTCAATATCTGGATTATATATATATATATATAGTACATGTTCATAAATCTTCCATCTTATTTTTACCAAGCAGCTGCATGTATTTAATTTAATTATTATTCAAATAGAATGCAATATAGTTAATATAGTTTTCTATATTAAGGTTAAAATATTCTTTGATTCCAATACTTGGATATTTTCTGCTCTAGAATCCCATAGCTTAAATTTATTTATAATTTTCCTCCTTTATTCCGGTCTTATGTTAGTAGTTTCCTTAATAACTAATTGCTTCCATATTACTACTTATATTTTACAATCTTAATATAATCTTAATACTGTCATTTTGTTTTTTTTTTGATATTGAAAAACTAATGGAAAAATAAAATAAAAGGTTAAAGGGGCTAACATACATATTTTTGTCCTTTTCCAACCTTGGAGCCAATCTCATGTTATGTTTGTATTTTTAGGCTAATAAATAGTTAATTTTTTTCTGATTCATTTTTGACAAAATTTATTAGTTGTGCACATTGGTTGAGCATCACTTCCTCTACTTGGAGTTACAATAGTTAGTATGTACTTTTAAAAAAAAAAAACATTTAAATTATTTATTCAAGTTCTGAAATAAGAAATTTAATTATTCTTGGAGTATCTATTATGTGTTTTAAGTTTCTACCTCTGTATTGCTTGAAATAAATAAAGTTCAAATATCTTTATTAAAGAAACCTTTAATAATGCATTTGATATTTATTTTGAGTGGTTTTCTAGTATGTCGGAAAATATTGTAAATTTATTTCAGGATGATTTGGAATTGCCTTCTCGATATAGTGCCATTGTGGGGACGAAATTAAAAATGCCAATTAACCTAGGTAATAGTTACCCGATTCTTGAAGGGCACAATCCTGAACAGATAAATCCAGTCACAACTCTAGTAGAATCATTCTTAACTCAATATTACAGTCTATACGATAACACAGTGTCCAGACAAATGGTTTCTGAAGCTTACCTTGAAAACGCTACATTTTCATTATCCTCTTGTTATCTGTCCACTGTGTAATGTTGAATACCTTTAATTAAAAAATTATTGGATTATGGATTGTTGTAACTTTTTTTTTATTATTTTTAGTTCTAAAGGTAGTTTAACACAGTATGTGCCTGAATGCCGGAACTTTCTAAAATTTGAAAAACACAGATCAGGGAGAAATCGTCATCTGCACAAAGGCAGAAAGAATATTGTTAACTTTTTAGAAAAGTTACCCAAAACCAAACATGACCTTGGGTCATTCATAGTCGATGTACCATTAGCAAATGTAAGTTCAGAGATTTTGGTTTTATTTAAATTTTGTCAATAATTTAAATTATTTTCTCTTTTAAAGCCTGTAATGGTTCAGATTGTATTAAATGGTGTCTTTGCTGAAGACTTCAAAGAAACAAATCAAAGGCAGGTTTTCCGATCGTTTTGTAGGACATTCAGCATAGTGCCTATTGGAAGTGGTTGGAGTATAGTGAGCGATATGCTTTTTGTAACAGTGGTCAATGATGAGTTATTAAAAGTAAGTGAATTGGTATTTTAATGAATTGCAATAGAAAGTAATTTTAAAATAATTTTTGATTTATAGGAATCTTCAAAACGGTTTTATGTTTTTAAACAAAAATCAGTATCATCAAAAAATAATAATTCCAATAATAGTGGCAACAATAATGTTACAATATTTATGGAAGATAATGACGAAATGCTTGGAATGGAATCATTATCCTACGTGGCATCTCCTACACCTAACTATCCTCTGCCACCATATCAGCAAAATACATTTTCGTCTTATCAGCTTTCTTCAATGAATCTACAGCAACAACAGCAGCAGCTTCCACCACTTTATCAAAGTAGTTTACATACCTCTGCCATGCTTAATCAATCAATTTCCAACTTCCAGCAGTCGAATCAACAAATATCCTTTCAGCAGCAGAATCATTCTGTAGCAGTACCATCACCATCAGTAAACTTTCAATCCAATCCACAACAGTCAAACATGGCATTTCCTATGTCCAATTCTACATCATCAGGATCTCCTTCTGTGGTGCCAGTTAATCAACAGGCAAAAGAAGTTCTTTTGAATTTAAATAATGATGCTAACTCAAACCTTGATACAAAATTAAGCATGATAAAGAGTTTTTCAGATGAATCTGGAATGAATGACGAATGGGCCAAAAAGTAAGACTTTTTTTTTTTAAATTTTACTAAATATTACTGTTGAAAACCAATCTTAAACTTGATTTGAAAAATAAGATCTCGAATAGGACTTCCAATATTTTTTCTAAATTTGATATTTATATAAACTAATTTAATTCATTTGATTCCCTATAGATGCTTGGAAGAAAATAATTGGGACTATGCCAAAGCTGCTTTGTGTTTTTCAAAACTAAAACCCAATATTCCACCCGCTGCTTTTATACGCTGATAAGTGTGTGGTTATGAATTTAACATAACAGAATGACAATTATTGTAATTTTCATACTGTGGACTATTTTTTATTTTTATTTATATTGTTAAATATTAATCTGTATCATTATTTTGGTTTTTAGTTCTTTTTAATACATTTAACTTAATTGAAAAAAAAAATGTAAGAACTTACTACGTTGGACAACTAATACCATTTAATTTTTTTTTTTAATTTTTTTGATTATCTTATTTTCTTAATTTTCTTTAGATATTCAAGAGTTATGAAAAGAAATTCTTAGTCTGTTGTTGCGGACTTATATAAATGTAGGTCCTTAACATTATGGGGGAGAGCCACATTCTAAACCTTAGAATAACTGAAATATTATACACCAGTGTATACTTTAACTAATTTACTGAGTGACATAATTGTTGCCTAGAAGATGATATCTTTAATTACTGGGCGATAACAATGTTTTAAATATTTTTAATTATTTTATCATTTTGTTTGACGATTTGTAGTTAAAACATTTATTATGTTGATTATCAGAATATCTATAATGGAAAACCTATAAAAACCATACAATATTATATTATTTATACCATTACGAGTTTGGATGGTATTAGAGTTTCTTAAGTTTGAAAAACTTTCTAACACTGATTTTTTTATTTCTTATAAGTTTTTCATAGTTTGTTGATATTAATTATATGGCTGGAAATTTTTTTTTTTGTTCAAAGAAAATTCCTTAAAAGAATCACTGTTATACACAGATAGCTATAGTAGAAGAGAAGTCTTCACCAAGAATATATGTGAATGATATTCATCAGGGAAATTATCTTTCACATAATTACTTTTATTTTATATTATAATTATAAAGGGGTACAAATAGCACAGGACGAGTTGTCATCAATGGATTTTAAGGGCAGGTGATAAATAGTTATGTCATACACATAAATTGGTCAACCGAATATAATCTGAGGTTGAGCTTTCAACCAAAAGTAATCGGTATACTAAAAGTAATAAATGACATAATCTAAATGTTAATCCAGTCTTGAGAAAATGAATAACAAGGAGTTTATACGAGATCGAGGTATGGAACAGACCCATTCAGATGTGTTTTAGTACAGTTATAGCGAGCACCTTCACGCCACTTTTATGAAATAATTATTTGGACTGAAAGTATTTTTGAGTTAAAATGTTTTTAACTTAGTAAATTTCATAAAACACAACAAAATTTAACTAAGGTTGAGTTTATATTTTAATAATATTATTCCACCTTACAACTTCTATTTTGTTGAACTGACGACACGCAACACAATACTACAAAAAAATAAGTGAATTATAATAAATTAAATTGTTGTATTCAAATAATTGTATTGATTAATATTATTAAGTTATAATTAGTGTTGTGGAGACAATGAGTAAATATTTACAAGCACAACAGAACGGTAAAAGGACGTTTCTTCCTCGTCTATTAGATAGGACATTTGGACTTCAGGAGTTGTATAAATTTATTTATACCTATCCATAGGACGTTTGGTCCCCGGTTATTTACTAAACCCCTCTTGACTGAAGTAAGGTAATTGGTAAATTTCCTACCATCCAAACAAATCTTGAATCAACTAGTAGCGAAATTAATATATATGAATATATTTCTAAAGTACATATGTATTTATAACTCGTATTATACTTATATGGTATTACCTATATAGTAATTATGACTGACCAAGTTGTGTTTTATTTTATTTCTAATGTAATTTTAAATGAAAAAGTGACTAATTTATGTAAAAAAAAAAAGCGAAAGGATTTATTTTATTGTTTTTTCTAAAATAGATTAATAAATTGTATTTAAAAAATTTAAAATTGTAATATTTTAAAAGCTGATTTTTTTTTAAACAATACATCTGTCCCAAGTTATAATATGTATAGTTCAATATGATTTTTTTTATATAAAACAATAGCTGTCCCAAGGTTGCAAAAATCAAGGGTAACTTGGAACAAGCATATTTTTTTTAAAAAAAAATGAGAAGGGGGAATCTAAAAAAAAATCAACAAATGAGTCTTACAGTCTATAAACCAAGATCAGAATTTTTGGTTCCTACCTTTATCATTATATTTTGAAAACTTATCAAACAGCATTCATCTGAATTGTAAAAGGGTCACAAGTAACCCCATTTTACAGTAAATATAATTTATTTTTATTTAGTAGGTAATATTTTTAAATTATGTAGATTGAAAAATCCTTCAACATTTAACCAGTAGTACAGGAAACCAGAGTGTAGAATTCTGTGGACATGATTCAAAAAGATACACTTAAGTACATTCATGGGCGCAACTAAAGCCCAAATATTAGGGATGCTGAAATTGCTGAAAATAAAATTGAATGGTATTTCACTGTAATTACTATAGATTCATAGATATATAAAAAAAAAAAAAAAAAGAATACTACATTTAAACTTAGAGGTGCTAAAAACCCTGTTGCGACTATGAATATATTGCTTTTGAATGTACCTAGATTAATTGTGGAATAGAATTAGAGTTTGAATGTTACATTATTATACAAAACACCTATAATTTATATTTTGTGATATAAATAATGAACAGTATAATAATTTTAATTAAATCTTGAAAATCATCTTTGAAATGCTTTATAACCAGGGCTCAAAATTTATAGCTCTAAAAAAAGTAGTTATAAGCGCTATAATATGCTCTTAAAAATATTCATAAAGGTAAGTGCTTAAATATACAATACAAGTACAAAAATATACGAATCGAATATCCAATTGCGTCGTTATATGATACATATAAATATGCATGTAATTTAAACCAAAAGAAGAATTAGTTGGCTAACATGAATTAATTACAAATATGAAAATTAATAATACTATAATTACTTTTTATTTTTAAGAAAAAATATTTTTAATGTTATGGAACTGAAAAAAACTTTTTAAAAAAATTTCTGCATTTGCATTTGCATGATTTTATTGAGCTATTAAATTTATTGCTAAGTAACCCTGAAATTATTTACATGGCATTATGAAAAACCTAATGGGAACATTTTGAAAGAAAATTTCAAATTTTAAGCTATTTATTTTACTTATATTTTATTTTATCTTGTATATTTATACCTAGAAATAATTTATCATAATTATTATGTTTAGCTTAGTATAATATACTAGCAACATTAAACTGTTTTTTTTTTTTTATTATTTATTAGCTATTAGTATAAAACTATGATAGCTCAATATTTATACATTATACAACATAATACATTACATTTTTATATTATATAACAAAGCCAGCATCCAATATGAAGGAAATTACTAATTTAATAACAGTAGTGGATTTTGTGTTTAGTATGGAGTAGATATTAAAGGGGATATTAAGAGTTTTAAATATGTTAACTAGAATAATGCGTCTAGTTTGAAGAGTAGGGCAGTCGAATAGAATATGGGATAAATCGCAGATACATTCATTTATGTGAAGTGTGCAGAATGGAGAATCATTAAGGCCAAGTTTGAAGGAGTGGATGGGTAGGTGATGACCTATACTTAACCTATTAAATTGTACAATATATGGTCTATATAAGTGTAAGTTGTTAAACCATGTTTTTTTTTTAGGATATTAGGTGTAATATTTCTGTAACTTGAGGCGAATTCTGCAGGTAGGTTGTTCCAGAGAGAGAGAGCCACGTATTGATGTAATGTTGTTTTAACAGAGGTGTGAAGTCCGAATGTGGGAGTTGAGAAAAAGAAGGATAAATGAGATTGGATGAAGATTTAGCGAGATGATCTACAACTTCATTACCATGTATATCTGTGTGACTAGGAACCCAAAGAAAGTTGATGTTACAGTTTTTTTGATTTAAGGTAAAAATAAGGAACTTGATGCGAATTATAAGTGGAGACAAATGAGAGTCAAATGGGTTTGAATTTAAGGCTTGAAGGCTTGACATAGAATCTGAGACAATTAAGTAATTTTTTGTGGAAAAACTTTGAATTAATTTTAAGGCTTCAGTGATGGCATAGTACTCAGCTGTAAAGGAAGAAGACGTAGGAGGAAGGTTACTGGTAAAAGAGAGTTGTAGATCGGGAATGGAGCCTGAGCGACGAAAATTTCTAAAACATTGGGTTTTGTTTTTAATAGCTTCAGAACAGTCAGAATTCCACTAAGGAGGGGAGGGTGGATAAGGGTTAGTATTTAATCTTTTCTTCGGAATTGTAGAATCAGCGGAGATGTTAATGATACTAGTAAAGGTAAAATAGGAGAAAATTTGAGAGGTAGAATTTGTCAGTGAAGAAATAGAATTATTAATTTGGAGAGAAAACGATGACCAATTAGCTTTATTGAAATTGAAAGGTAAGTGAATTGGAGATGGAAAATCCAAGACGGGACTAGATGGCACAGTATCGATGGACCTGTTGAAATTAGCTGATATGATAATGGGGATATGGTTGCTACCGTGAGGATCATTGAGGACTTGCCAAAATAGATACCAAATGATATTAGGGGAGCAAAAAGATAAGTCAATAGCCGAGTTGGTTGTGTTGGGACGACCTACATATATAGGACTACCATTGTTGAGAGAACAAAGTCCTAATGAGTTGTTGCAATCATAGATTTGAGAACCACGGCGGGAAACAAACTCAGAGCCCTAAGCGGGATGAAATGCATTAAAATCGCCGCCAAGTAGCGTATTATATGATATAAGGTTGAAAAGTTCACGCCGTAAATTGGAAGGAACATTGGAATTACTGGGGATGTAACAGGACCAAAATTTTAAAGGAGGATGGGAGTTGACTAGATGCACTTCGATACCTATGATGTCAATTTTATGGTGAGTAAAACTATTTCTGGTAGCGACATCTAAAGGAATTTGTTTGTATTTGAGAGAGATATGAACAGCTATAGCTACACCAACATAGCCATCATAGCTATCGGATATATAGGTTTTGAACTGCGGAATTGTAAGAGGACGTGAAGGTAAGAGCCAGGTTTCAGAGAAAAGTGCGATTGAACATTTGTGATCGGATAGAAGGTGTTGTAGGGATGGGAGACGTGTAGGCAGACTTCTCACATTCCACTGAATAATGTTAGTACACTTTTTGAGTATATTCAGATTATTATTTTTTTTTAAAAATACCATGATAATTTTATTAAATTATATTTACTTTGTTATTGTTATAAGTGTTAGTTTAGGAGTCAAATATAATTAGTGATTACTATGACTGTGGTGAAGACATTTAGAGTATAATACAAGACTAATCAGAAGTGACATTAGAAACAGGAATATTAAGAAGTGAATTTAGAGAAGATTCAATTAGGGATTAAAGAGAATCGGGAGAGAAAGGGAAAATAGAAAGGGGGAATTTATAAGAGATTTAGATAGCTTAAGAAAAAAAGAATAGACTCAAGATAGATCAATAGAGTTATTTTCTACAGTAAGGCTTTGATTAGAGAAATTGGTTAAACAACTACTGTTTGGGGAAGAAAAATGAGGTTAGACTGGTAAATTTAATTTGTCTTTATTAATCGGGGAGCGAGATTTTTGTTGTCTTCCTGAAATTGAAATAATGGTAATAATCATATAAGCTGGGGAAATTTTCTTCCTCTAGGGCGATATTTCAGAAATTTGAAGCTGGTTCTTAACAACATCGGAAAAAGAAAAAGCAGCAGTATAACAATTATTTTTTTTAAAAATTAAGGCATCTTTATAGGAAATATTTTCGGTGGCCATCATGTGTTTGATTTCTTTTTGAGTGGACCATTCTCGGCAATTACGATCAGTGGCTAAGTGAGATTGCTTGCAGAAGAGACATACAGGATCAGTGGCTTGAGCACGTGGGCACGAATCAATCAAGTGATTGTTTTCACCGCAGTAACTACATCTGGGACCGCTACAATATTTTTGCGTATGTCCGAACGTAAACAGCGATTACATTGAACGGGAAACCGGACACTGGGTTTGACATCAAAAATCATGTTAAATACGGAGATTAAGGATGGTATTTTTGAGGCGACGAATTTAAGTTCAACTATACGGGTTTGAATGATTTTATCATCTTTTTTAATACTGATGTGTTTGAATGCATCAATCTTGTCTGAGGATCAGACGCCTTCCAAAAATTCAGCTTCTGAGACTGTAGTGTCTAATTTTAGTATTCCATAAGAAAAGATTAGCGTAGATGGTATAATTGCATTATAATAATTATCTTTTAAGATGTTTGAATTTAAGCAGCAATTACCATTAAAAATTGTGTCGAAGGAAATTTTGATTTTTTTTGAACCCGCAGGCTTAATGTTGGTAATTCCTGAGAAGTTGATAGAAAAAAATTTAGCGGCTTTAATGGGATGCCAGTTTCCTAAATTAATATTAGCGTCCATACTTTCAACAAGAATAGTTACAGGCCCAGTAAAATCTGGCGAAAACGACGTTTGTAATATGTTGATATGTTTGTTAGTGTTGAAGATATCGCTATTGGTAAGGAAAGTAGATAGAAAGTATTATTTAGCGAAGAAGACGTAGAACCAGTATCGAGCTCATTAGGACGATCATTAACGTTCACATCCATATCGATAGCCATAGACCCAGCAAACGTAATTGTAGTTTGTGTAGATAAGGAGCTATAATTAAATTCGGAGCTGGATATATCTAGAATCGGCGGGTTTTCCATAATTTGTTGTAAACTTGGACTGGACAAGAAGAATTTTTTATTGGCTTACCGTTTTTACCGACTAACTGGTAACCGGGTCCAGCAATATTTTTGATATGTTGATTTCCGTGTTTATTTGAACTACTATTCCGGCCAGCACGATTTGTGCTGCCCGAAGACGACGACATAATTGACGCACGAACTAAGATAAGGAGCGATAATACTGAGCGAGATAAACTAGCAAAAACGACACCATTAAAACACGTCTGTACGCTGAGACTGCGAGAAAACGAATCATGATTTATACTGTTATGTACGAGTATATTTACGTTAAAAAAAAAATTAAGTGCATGTTTTTTAAGCATATTTGTATTTTTTTAAGCGCATAGGTGCATGAATATTGAGTACTTTTTAAGTGCATTAAGTTCCGAGGCCTAATAATAATATAATACATACTACTATGTAATTTAATATTCATCAGTTATTATTTATTGAAACTTATGAAAATATTTCATATCTAATTAAAAAACTGCAAAAATATGTAACCAAATTTGATAGCATCATCATAAGATATATATTGGTATCACACATTTTCAAAGCACACGGTTTGGTAAAATACACGTCACGGTGTAGTATGAACCCGGCTTAACGGTTATGATAGTTTTTGAAATATCCTTAAAGAAATGGTTAACGGTTACAAAAAATTTTCGACTTTTACCGGAGCCGATACCTACTTTATTAGGAACGGTTTTAACCCGTTCACTGCTGACCATAATTTGAGATATCAGTTATTACGCTGACGAAAATTGGGATGTTTTTTTCAATGACGCTACCCTACTTCAACTGGATAAACCAAGATCTAAAATTAGAATTATCAAGGTGCGACTAGCACAAAACGATTAAACAATACTTGAAGATAACGCTAATGAAAACTTATTTGTTTATCCGTAACGCTGATAAAATTATAAAGAAAAGAAAAATCATATATTGATGACGCCAATTGGCGTCATCAGCATACGGGAACAATGCTAAATGACGCCAATTAACATCATCAGCAGTGAACGGGTTAAGCCCTGGTTGTAAGCATGTTCACAAAAAGTTATCGCCCGAGTACGTTCCATAAATAATTTTTTTTTTTTTTGGTTTAGCCCGAATGCGTCCCGGTTTTTTAGTTACTCAGGATGCACAACGAGGAGTTGAACTTGCTTACACCTCAAAAATGTTTTTTTCATTTATTCAATGTTTATATTCAAATTATATTATCTCGTTTATTTAACTTACATCGAATAATTGTAGGTGAGTGTCTTAGTATTTATTTTATGATCATATAAATTACGTTGTTACTATTTATGCTGTGGTTGATGTTTAAAAACTATAATTTTTAGAAAATCTATCTTTGAAATTTGGTTATTCTTAAATGTATTAATATTTCCTTCGATGAATGCAATTTTGTTATTAGTTGCTCCTTTTTTCTTCATAGTTGTTTTTGTGGCTGCTTTGATTGCAATTTTAATGTCAATTTGATTTTTTTTTTAAATATTTCTAAGTATGAATAAATATCTGGATGTTGATGAAAAAAAAACGAATTAAACTTGGAATGGAAACTCTCACAGGCGTTTGTTGTCCTTTCAGAACTACTTGTCATTTCTGCCCACATAGAAATTAGAAATTTTGCTTCAGAAACAATATAATTTTCTGTCAAATAATCCATAAAATCTTGAAGTTTTTCATGTTTAGGCATTATAGACATAAAGTCTTTAACAAAACATTTCTCAACATCATCTTAACGAAATTTCCGTTATAACAAAAAAAAAAAATTCGGTACCTTGGAGTTCGTTGTAACGGAAACTTACGCAATCGGGCTCTTCAGTTATTGTAGTTGATAGAACCTCTGAAGCACTCGGGCTATACGATAAAAACTGCAGATGAAATTACGGACGCACTCGGGAAACCCCCTTCAAACAGGAGCGTATTTAGACTTACTTCAAATGGGGGGGGGGATGACTCGAATTTTTTCTTTAATTCAGGCTCAACATTTACAAGTAAAATTGTTGGTAATATTTAAATCAGGTGAATCCTTAATATTTGTGATTTTTTTTTTTTTATCACCTAATCCACTTACAATTAACTTTTATGTAGTTCTTCTTTAACACCTGTCTGTATTTTGAAAGTTACCCGACAAAAAACCCAATTTATTATATTCAACATTGACTGTGATGTTACCACTGATTATTGGTACTGATAAAACACAATAATATATACATCTTCGTGATTTAGTTATTTTAGCTAATTTAGGAATTAGCTGCAGTGAACCGCTCGTATTCGAACTTTGGATGTATTACCACAGAATAGAAGATGTATTACACTTGTAATACTTCGTGCCGTTTTGGGAAACACTGCGTGTCGTTGACAGATTCACCACGAAAACATGGCGCATGTGCCCGGTTTCGTCGCGATAACAAATGTGCACCGACGAACGTTTATTTTATTCAAATCTATCCGCCTCATGACATAATCTCAGTTCTTTCCAAAACCATATTTTTTTCTACTCGAATGTTTTGCTTTTGGTTCATGGCGTCGTCCGGACGACTATTCGCTCGTCGCGCGTGTTTTTAACTACAATTCGTCATCGACTCCCGGTCGTTTTCGATTGTACACTTCCCCGACTCGGCTATCTGTCATTTTCCGTAGAATCCCGCGTCCATGTGAGAAATCGTCGTGTGAACGTCATCCTACTCCCCGGAACATGGTGTCGCTGTTGACCAATATCTGGAACTGGGTTTCCGGACAAACGCAGATGCACGAATTGCCGGAAAACATATTTTTCGAAAAAGACGTATCGGCCGACAACGGTTTCTGGGTAAAAAATTTGTTGTAGACGTTTCGGGACGTTTCGGAAGTTCATACGCTAGTACACCAAATCACGTTTGTTCTTTATTTTTTAATATCCCGTAGAAATCTTTCGGATTTGACCGTACGATGTAAGAGAAAAATTGGCAAATTAAAAAAAAACCAACGCCATGCGTACTATTTATTTTTTAACTTTAAACTGTGGACCACCTGAACTTATTCCATGTAAATAGTTGAAGTAAATCGTCAAATATTTTAATTTAATTATTTGATGTTAATTATATTGACAAATTGTTTTCATAAAAATGTAGGTATAGCAAATAAACAAGAATAAGTTGTTCTGAAATCAACTTTTATAATGCTTGTTTTAGTGTATGAACTTTTGAGCTTTGATTATTACACACTTCTGAACTAACTGTACTAACCTCAGCACTTAAACATATTAACCATAATATTTGCTTCTTGCTGGTAATGTATTTAGATATCGTGCATTTTGGACCCAACTTTGGAAATCAAATATGTTAACGGTATTGTGACACATATGTTGGATACGGATAAATGTCTGATAAATGGTATTTATCATTATCAGCCAAAAACTGAAAAAGAAATTCGAAACTTTCCCTACATAGAAGTAAACAGTGCTGTCAGGATATCTCTCTACAGGAAAAAGAATTCAAATGCACAGTGGCAAGTTGCGAGTTGCTTTATATCAAAAGAAGGTTCTCGCCATCGAGGCACAAAGTATAACAATTGTGTACAGTTACAATGGAATTTCGCATCATCCTTATATTAATTAATTTTTTTAGTGTTGCACAGAATGAGTCTGTGAGAGTTCATTTTAGTAGTAATGAATCCCCTCCTCATATCAATCAGGTTAAAGAAAATGATGAAAGTCTTATGACTGTGGAAGTAATGGGCGATATGCCTAAAATGGTTGCTTTAGATCATGAATCGACAATACAGGTATAATATGATAACCTATTTGCCGTGTATTATTAAGATATTAAGCTACTTTTACTTTTATTTTTGTTATAAATTAATATTGCTCAATGTTTATGTCTTACTTGGGCATTTAAGATATTATTTAGGAATAACAGCTTTGTTGAAGAGCAAGAGTTAATTGATTATCACACCATGGAAGGAAATAAATCACAGTTATTTGTTGCCAATAAAATTATATTACCTTTAATAATTGGTGCACATTCACAGTATATTTTTGATATAAACATTAAAGGAAAGTGAGTGTTAATCTGAACATAATAACCATTTTACTTTGATTTTTGCAATATTATACCAATAGACAAAAAAGTTTAAAAAAAACATATTATAAATTTATAATAAATAAATAAATATGCCTAATCAGGAGTATTACTATAATTGTATAGTAAGTTTAGAATTAAAATTTCATCATCAGGTATATAAAAAGTCAGTAAAATCGTAACTATATTTTGAGTTACGATTTTACTGACTTATTTTGAGTTTATTGACTATATATATATCTGATGATCAATTTTTTACTTCAAAACCGCTCGTACTTTACAAATATAATAATACTCCAGACTTAGCATTTATTTACTTTTGTATTTAAACTATTTGTTTATTTATTTATATATTATAAACATATAATATAATTATTTATGTATTATTTTTGTTCCAGGTATTTAGGAAAATCCACTGAGAAGGTTATATTTATTTTCAAAGATATTACTTACAAAGTAGGAATAAATATTGATATTACTGACTCAAGAATAATTATTCCAAATAATCCTGGTATATATACCCGCAAAGAAGTTGATATGAAGTGAGTGTTATTAATTGAAAAAAGCTTGATAATTCTTAATTTATTTTCTTACAAATTTTACAGGAGGTTATTTGAACTTCTAAACGATCCTATCATTCTTGGGGTTCATAAAAATAATAGAGTACAGTTTCCAGCTGTTAAAATAGGAAATTGGAATATTCCATCTCAACTAACAAAATGTTTCTGGACAGAAGATGGAAAATTTAATACGTAATGAAAATTATAATTTTAAACTAACCTTACTGAAAATTACTTTTTTATACTTACTATTTTAAAATTACTCATTTATTTTCTTATATAAATATATTTTGAAATAATAAAAACTACCAGTGTTGAATTTTTTATCATTAATTTCTTAAAAAATGTGTAACTTGAAAATTATTTTGTTATTCTAGAAATTTATCTGAAATTAAAACAAAAATTGCTACATTGTATCCTGCTGTTTTTGAAACTCTTACCTACCACAATTACAAAGCAAAATTTCATAGCCTTTTATTCATTGAAGAAATTGAAGTAAATATTGAATGTATTATTATAATTATATGTAAACAAGTTGAAATATTTTTGTTATTTGTTGACTATATTGATTTGTTAACTATGCTACTCAGGCAGTTAATTCTCAGATAAATTACTGCTTGAAAATTAAGTGGCGAATTATGCTTTGTTTTGTCTTCAAACATATTAATTGATAACTGAATGTCTTCTGTAATTGATAATGTACAAAAAGATTTAATTCCAAAACCTAGCATAATTTAAAACTTTTTTGTTTCTTAGTTCATTTATTGTCATAAAAATCATACTATATATTAACTAAAAATTATGTTAATAACACTTATAAAATTTTAATTTTTGGACATTTTTTTTTCAAATTGTTATTTTAAATATCTACTTTTTACTGTAAAATTATGAAATTGCTTTAAAATGTTAAATTCATCTAGGTTTTTCGTTGCCTCCAAAAATATTCTAAAGAAAGAATTCATTTTGATCATGTTGGGGAATATTTGGTTTTAAAAATACCAGACCTTTCTGAGCAACGTCCTTCATTAATTCCTGGTGATCGAATTTCAGTTACAGATCCACCAAACTGCACTAAAAGATTAGGTAAATCAATTTTATTATTTTATTTGCAATTTGTAATTATATAAAATCACCTAGTAAAAGTTGTTATATAGTGGGATTATAGTTTAGTTTGTTTACCATAACTTATAAACATTTAGAAACATCAAAAATCAGTAAGAATATCAGTAATAGTTATTGCTAATTTTTAACCAGGTGAATCTGGACAATATGAAGGTATTATTCATAGGGTTTTGGCAGACGAAATATGGTTGAAGTTTGATCCAGAATTTCATTCAATCTGTGGCCATTGGGATTACAGTGTAAACTTCTTTAATTCTAGAACTGTTACTCGTAAACAGCATGAAGTCATCGACAAGTTATGGGAAAAGAAAAGATTAGGGGAATCATTTTTGTTCCCGTACCGGGATTGTATGGAATATCAGCCCTCAAAATTGGAAATCACAAGCCTTAATGAGATCAATACAAATCCTAATTTTAATGATAATTTAGACATGAAAACCGATTCTCTATTACCTTCACCAAAAGTTGTACAAAATATCAGATGGTTTAATGAAAAGTTGAATTCCGAACAAAAATCTGCAGTTATTAATATTCTGAAAGGTGAAGGAAGACCAATGCCATATATTATTTATGGACCACCTGGTACTGGGAAAACTATTACATTAACAGAAGCTATCATTCAAGTATACAAACAATTCCCCAAAAGCAAGTAAGTATTCAATTAAAACTTTAAATATACGTAGTTACCTATTACTCTTGTTAACACCAGTATCTATTATATCTTTTGTGTTGGATAAGTATGAACACTTATGTAGTACTCTTATGCACAACTTGTGAGTGTTAAAATTTAAAAGATAAATCCTTACTAATACTCGCAATTACTACAATCTCATGTCTTTCTGGGACTTAATTAGAAACCTTTTTTCTTTTTTTTTTTTTTTTTCCATACATTTAAGATTATCTAAATTTTATTAGATTGTTGATATGTGCTCCTACAAATGCTGCTGTTGACATATTGCTGAGTAAATTAGTTAATTCGGGTTTATTCAATCCCTCTATATTGAAACGATTAGTTGGTTATAATCATTTTATCAGTAATGCATATGATATGGATTTTGATGAGTATTGTGCGTTACCTGAACTCGAATCTTCAGTCCAATATCAAGAAACAGGTAAAAGAGATTAATTGAATATTTCTTAAATTAAATTAATATTTATTAAAAATGATAACTTAAAATATTTTTAAAGTATACATATTTTACAGATTCAAAGTTAATAAGGAAAAGGGATATTCTTAAACTACGCATAGTTCTCACTACAGAAGGCTCATCTGGTATACTTTATATGATGGGTCTTAAAAGTGGAACCTTTACTCACATATTTATTGATGAAGCTGGACAATCAATGGAACCAGAAATATTATTACCTCTTTGTATATTTCTTGGCTATTTAATTTAATTCACTAATTATATGCTTTTTTTAAATGGTTTACAGCATTTCTGGATCCTAGTCGTGATGGACAAGTTGTGTTGGCTGGAGATCCAAAGCAGTTAGGACCTGTTCTTATGTCAAATATATCAAAGTTCTCTGGTTTGAATCAGTCCATGTTATTGCGATTTATCAACTATCCATCTTACCTGAGAGATCTTAATATGTTTCCAGAACATAACGGTTATAACCCTAAAGTCATTACACATTTGGTTAAAAATTATCGATCTGTACCAGAAATTTTACATAATTACAGTAAACTATTTTATAAATCATTACTTGTGGCAACTGTAAGCAATATAATTAATTCCATATTTATATCTAAGTGCAAAAAAAATTACTGTCATTTTAACTTTTACTAACTGTAGAAAGTAGAAGATAATACACCAGAGAGAATATTATTAAACAATTTAAATGAAAATGTTCACTGGGAAATTGGTTGTAAGGGACCAGTTATTGTGCATGGTATTATTGGAGAAAACCATCAAGAGCCCCATAGTCCTTCATGGTTTAATCCCCATGAAGCTTTCCAAGTATTATTGTATGTTACACGGTTAATGAAAGCAGGAATATCAGCTGATGACATAGGCATTATCACTCCTTATAGTAGTCAGGTAAATACAATTTTACTAAAGTATTAAATTATATAATTTATCTATGTATAATTTAATGTATTATTTGTTTCATTCCTTAGATTGCTAAAATTAGTGAGTTATTGAAAATGTATCATCCATCTGTTAAATTACCCAAAGTGGGTTCTGTTGAAATGTTCCAAGGTCAAGAAAAAATGGTCATTTTGATATCTATGGTCAGGAATCAATCATTGATAGGAAATAATGTTGATGAAAAATTTAAACTCGGCTTTCTTATGGCAAAAGAACGCACCAATGTTGCAATTTCTAGAGCAAAAGCATTACTTATTATTATCGGTAATCCATTCATAATGCAAAAGAATACAAAATGGAACTACATTCTGCAGCGAGCAATAAGGGAGGAAAACTATATTGGATGTACTATTCCAGAAGTTAATGCTGATTCCTAATACTAATATTGTTATTTATTTTTAAGTTTTAAATAAATATTTTTTTTAATGTTAAACTATTCTCAACTATGACAAATGTTTCATTATTAATGAATATATATTTTCACAGCCAATGGTGATAATTATTATTATTTTTTATTACAAAATTAAAGATTTTTAAATTATAACAATTAAATTAAATATTGTGTTGATATATTCCTACTTTAATAAAGATAAAAATAAATAATTGATGAATGACTGGCATCAAATGTCAATGATAATCACAATGTACATTTTAATTAAATACATAGTACACAATTATAAACAGTGTACCACTTACAAATCTACTTTAGGGTTTTGACCAGTATTTACAGGAATGGCATTAAGCTCTGTTCTCATGCATAAGAATTCTGCACACATGCATGTGATTGCTGCACAAACAGCATTTAACACCCACCAAAACGAAGTGGGCAATGTTCCATTGTACCATATACAAGCTACCAAGTGTATGATATGTATTGTACAAGAGAAATCCAAACACAATCGATATCGTTCAACAATTCGCCAAATAAATGTAGCACTATAAAAAAAAAAAAAAATAGAGATTAATGAGTTCAACATATTACTATATATATATAATATATACTATACAGTGTTTTCATTGATAAAGGTAACACAAAATATTTCGAACGTGTAATTCGGGTTTTTATTAATACATAAAAGACATGAAATTAGGCCGGCCGCGCACCAAAAGAGCAAAACTGCGTTAAGCAGCATTAGTATTTTTTGTTTTAGTCAACTAAAAACAATTTGTTTTATATATGTGCATATCAGTTAGTCAAGTTAAGGCAAGACAAGACTAGACAAACATAAAAAATACACAAACAGTTACCAAAATGTCATCTGACGAAGAGGTTGCAGTTTGATTGTGGTACACTCTACGAGAGTTAGAAAAGAAACAGAAAAAAAAATTATGGGTTCATCCATTAAATCAGAAACGTATAACTCATAATGTGATATTTTCGTTATTGTGTGAATTACGTGCTGATGAAAGTAAATTTAAAAATTACACACATTACACAGCCATTGTATTTTAAAATTACAATACAATTTATATATAATTATTTAAATTTAAATATTATATAAAATTGTATTTTATATGTATTTTATATTAACAATTTTTCATTCTTGTCTTAGTTTGACTGATGAAAAATGGAGACACTTCAGACGGTAATAGTCATGACTAGGGCCCGGATTTCAATGCAAAGTGCATATTTTTTTGGTTAATCATACACAATGCTCTCTAAGAACATAATTCGTTTCATGTAACGAGGGCTTCAAAACTACAAATTTTATTTTGCATTTTTTTTGCATATTTCGACATTTTTTCGTTTTTAGAGCATTTTTAGTATATTGGGTCATTTTGTTGGTTTTTAATGCATATTTGTTCGATTTGCTAAACAAATTTAACCTATTCAAAATAAAATCAAAATAAAAATTATTTTCTTGATATTTAAGTAGATTTATCAGGTTTTTCCATACACATTGTCAATCTTTATTTTTCTATTCAGTTTTTATCTTATCTTAATTTATTATTGACTATGGAACGTCACCAGTATTAGGTCAAATAACAAGTTAATTTTAGTTCGTATTACCTCGCAGACTTTGCTCGTATTACGTGTGAATGTGATTTTAATGTTTTAAATAGTGTGTTAAATAATGCCCAAACAAAAAAAAAAATTTCATTTTTAAGGTTATTTTTTGTGGTGAAATGCATTTTTTAAGGACATTTTCGGCTATTTTTTAGAGCATTTTTGTATGGTTTTAAGTGCATTTAAATCCGGACCCTAGTCATGACTAATTGTGTTAAAAGTAAAAACGTTTTGTTTTGACTATGTTTTATCAGTGTGTGTATGCAACGCAATTTCCCATGTTCTATTTTTAACAAAACTGTGTTAGGCTGACTAACGCTGCTTAACGCAATTTTGCTCTTTTGGTGTGCGGCCGGCCTTACATTTATTTTAAATAAATCTCAATTTTTAAAAAAAAAATTCTACGCATGCGCAACAAAATGATTTTATTTAAATGGCACTCCCCATTTTTGAGTTCAAATTTAAATTATGTGAATTTTTTCAAACTACTTTGACCTTTAAAGTTTTGCTCTATCTTCAAAATTGATTGATTGAGAATGAGTTATTTGAGTATAATATAATGAGCATTTTCAATTTATAACATTTGTATTTATCGTAGTTTTCAATAGTCTACTTAGAGTTTTATAAATTTATAAGTGATTTCGTATGAATTTTTCTTAAAAATTAAGTGTACTATCATATGTATAAGTAATTTACATTACTTCTATAGAAATTTTAACTCACCTGCACTTAACGTATTAATTGTTCGCAAATATTTAGAGAGAACTTTTAATCATAGATGGATGAACACTCACGGGCCAGTATAATGGCAGCCAAGATCACCAGATTTGACACCTTTTAATTTTTTTTTTGGGGATATCTGAAGATAGTTGTCTTTTCTAACCCACCAAATGATCTTCAAGATTTGAAAAATAAAATAATTATTGCATGTGCATAGTTGACCGAGGAACAAATACTTTCTGCAATACACAGAGAAATATTGCAATGGTGTGAAGCATGCGTTGCAAATAATGGTAATAACTTCGAGCAATTTATACGATGAATTGTAAAATATAATCAAAACTCACCTGTACATAATTGAATTGTTTATTAAAATCAAAATTTTATTTTAAAACTGAATTAAAATAATAGAATATGTGTTAGTTTGTTTATGTATTAGTTTTAATTAATCAAAATTATACCATTTACAAGAAATTTGAGTTAAAATTTGTGTAGAAATAATAAAAATTACTTGTATTTATGACAGTATACTTAATTTTTAAGAAGAATTCATACGAAATTACTTATGAATATGTAAAATTCGAAGTAGACTATTGAAAAATACGATAAATACAAATGTTATAAATTGAAAATATAACTCATTCTCAATCAGTCAATTTTGAAGATAGAGCAAAACTTTAAAGGTCAAAGTTGCTTGAAAAAAATTACATAACTCAAAAATGGGGGGTGCCATTTAAATACTTTGCTGCGTATGCGTAGAATTTTTTTTTTAAAATTAAGATTTATCAAAAATAAATATAATTTCATGTCTTTTATGTATTAATAAAAACCCGAATTGCATACAAGGTCATGCGTTCGAAATATTTTGTGTTACTTTTATCGTTTAACACACTGTATATACTTTATATATTATAGTAAACGCATTGTTAATGTTGCTCACCCACTAAGTGCATTTAAACCAAACACAGCAATGACAAACTTTTCACCAGATACAGTACTCAACTCCTGTAAATCAATAGTCATGGGAAAATAATTATAATAATATAGCAGCGTTGGAGGTTGAATAATTATTTACTTTGAATTGAAAGATGACGTCCAATGAGCGCGAGGTGCCAACTATGTAACTGATAACAGTGATCCAAACACACATTGTGAAATAATAAAGACACTGGACTGAGATAATCTGCGCGACGATGAGTACGGGATCCCAAACAGTTATGCGAAAGTGTCCAGTGTTGCCGGTAGACAAGCGGCTATATGACGCCGCTTTGCTATAAGGGGATAAAAATCCAATGTTAGTTGATACAGATGGTAGAAGTATTGAATTATGTAAAAAACGAACATCACTACTTACTCGGCACCAAATCTGTTGAGTATCGACCACAGCGAGATCGACATGGTCGTCGGAAAATGGAACGTCCTCATGAATGCGGATACGGTGACTGATCAGTGTTGATGTCCGCCGAAAGAATCAGATTAAGTGGCGATAGAGACAAGGGGACGGAAGCCGGAGGAGCTGTTTGTCATGTACGATGGCGAAGATCTTAGAGTGCTGCTGTGGGTGTAATAAGTCGGTATCTTTTCGTAGCGAGAGGACGATGTCGAGATCGTTTTCAATGTTTTTACTTTTTGCAACCGTTTAGAACTGTTATCACTGTTATGACTACAATACCTAATGATTGCAAAAGCGATTTTATCACAAGGCATGTTTATAATTTTTTTATCTACAACCAAATCAAAAACAATCAAAAATATTTATGCTGGGCTTAGGTCAGTTTTCCTCATTGATAAGAGATAAAAATGAAGTTTCCAAATTCATTGATGCCAACGTCCAAAAGAAAAATTCTGTCCAATCCAACCTTTACAGTGTCATTAACATAATAACAAAAAAATCCCTGAATTTCAAATTTATTTATTTTCAAATTCAAATTTCAAAACCAATGTTTTTGAATAAAAATTAAAAACCGGTCTGTTATTCCATATATGAATGATCACAAAATATTATAGCTTGAAACTTAATATAGTTAATAGTTCGTAATAAATTACATACGAGGCAAAAATAAATGATTGCGGGGTGTCGCGGCTAATGACAAGTTTTTATTTAAAAGTAAATTGTGTCTTTTATTGTGAGATTTTGAAGTTATTATAATCTAATTTGGTTTTAAACTATAAAATGTTTGTTTTGTCATTTTTTTCCTAGTAAATTGGGAGAATCAAATCCTAGTGTGTGTACTGAAGCGTTTGTGGTGATAAAACACTTTTGTAAAGTAACAAGATGTTTCTGTACTTATCCTGTACTCGTTATCGTGGTCACCAAAAGGAGAATTTAATAAGTTTTAACTGAAAGGTATCGATATTTACTCTTTGACGGCCTGACACTCAATAATCGAAATATATCTGTTATATATCAAGCCTTTGCGTGGCGTATACGACAGGTTATACTGTAAAATACTATAAGTATATCTATGTGAAAAATTTTCGTAAGGTCATCAGGTGATCGACAAAACGCGTATGAAATGTAAAATTTCTAATTGTTTGTCATATTTAAAAGAAAATTGTTAAAATAAATTAAATTTCTACTTTAATTATTCACATCTGCTTTGATTATTTATTTAGAGTATTTGTGATACAATATGTGATTGTTCAAGAGGTGGTGATGTGCTAATTGCAATAAATAATAAATACATAGGTACTATTCTCGTATGTTACCCTTACCTCCCTGTTCCGTAGAACATTTATTTGTTATTGTCAAAATTAATTTCGTTTACTATATTTTAGGTAATGCTTATTTTCCTTCTCGCCCACCTATAACGTTATACAATAAAAAGTTCAATAATATTAATGTTCTATTCATTTCCTATCCCTACGTTTAAAATATAATTTTATTAGGTGATTATAATACGCCAAACTTAAAATGGCAATTCACTTATCCTTCCTGTTTACCTAACTATTTAAATTTAAATCAATTATCAGTAGACTTTCTATCTAAAATTTCAGTTTTAAGTTTATCCCAATTCAGTACTGTTTAGTCTCAAAGAATTTCATCAGGAAGTCAGGAATACAATTCCAGAACCCAGGTTAGTGGATTATTTTTATCGAGTATAAGAATAATGTTGAATATAAAAGGGTATCGACCGGCATATAACACAATCACCGAATAAATTGGTTCGAGGTCAGTACTAAACACTGTACACAGGGCCGGCTTTAGATTTTTCAGCGCTCAGTGCAAGAATTATTTTGGCAATCTTAAACGACTTGAACATATAACTATAATCGGCAGACTTTTGGTAAGTGGTGGTTCCTCAATATACATATTATGAGTCTCGTTCATAATTATGAGTATTATTCTGAGCATTTATAATTATAAATAATAAAAATAATTTTTCAAAAGTGCATGTTTGCCATATAATTGTAAATCATTTGGAGAACAATCATAATAATACTCGAAATAATTTAATGATAGTTTATAAAACTGCAATTGTAGGAGCGACCTATCCTTGCATGTCGATAAAATAATAATGATAATTATAATAGTAATCAAATTTATATTGAATCATATCGTGAAATTTTTTTTTCTATCCGTAGTAGAAGATTTGGTCACTAATGGTTGATCAAATTTAATTCTAATTCTGACGCCTCTCACGTGCTCTTCTCATTTTGGCGCCCTGTGCCGTCGTACGTTTCGATCGTATCTAAAACCGGCCTTAACTGTACACTAATGGCTGATAGCTGACAAGTAGTAGCTGAAAATCGATTATTTTATAAACCAATATTACCATGGTGTGTGATGAATCATCACTGATGATGTATATTTTTTGTGTATTTTCATACAGGCTAGTACGGTCATTCATTTATTTTATTCTAAAATTCCTTTACAGTATTGTAAATAATTAAAATTTGATTTTTATGGCGCATTCTTGTAAAAATTTTATTAAAGAATTACATTATTTTGTTTATGTATTACATTAATTAAAAGAAATTATATGCATTTTTTAAATTTTTTGTCAAGACCGATATCCTTAAGGAGAGGAAGAGTAATGTACAATTGCGAATGGCACGATTGCGAACGGACCTTTCCCGCAACATAATTGGGAACATTTTTACCTGATTTTTTTCTTCGGCCTTGTCAGATTTGGTGTTAGGCTCGGTCCACACCAAAGAAGAGTCCGGTGGCAGTGTGCACGTGGTACCACAATAAAATTAGAATGTGATAAAATGTGCACATCGCATCACCATCACTGTTTTGGACTGCTTTGGTATACTTTTTTTTCATTAATTAAATTAATGAATTTAATTTTATTTGTCCAAATTAATTTTTATTTTCAAATAATCAAATCTTATAAGATTAACAACAATAGTCATGTCAAGAGTCAACGGCAGCCCTAACACATAACATACATCAATACGTAATATAAGTGCATTATTAAAATATTTTTGTATTATTTTTCTTAAAAAATTCTTTAATAAGCGACATTCGTTCGCAATTGTGGTATAAAAAAGGTAAAACTTTCGCAATACCCGAAAGGAATGAGGAATGTCAGCATGTCAATTATGTATTTGTACTAATGTAACATTTTAGATTATTTACATTGATTAAGTAGTATTAAGTAATCATAGGCAGACATTGGGAGGTGGGCTTAGCCCTCCAAATATTTTAATAGCCCCATTCAAAATCGAAAATTTGTTAGAAATTTTATTCGTTGTTTTATAATTATCTGTTGGTTTTTTTAAAAATCCTAAAATAAGAAACAATAAAAAATTATTTACAATAGCAATAACAATACCAATTAGTTCGGCTACTTGCGAAAGAAGTTTCTGTGCAATGAAAAAAATAAAAACTTGGCTAAGGTTCAGCGATCTTTCAATTCTATATATTGAAAATTATATATCGAAAAATATAAAAAGTGATGATATTTTGAATATTTTGCTGATACAAATAGATATTTGTCATTAAAATAAAATATTAATTATTTTTAAATATACGTTATTTAGTTTTTTTTTTTTTTTAATATAATTTAAACATATTTATATTTTTAATAGTAATATGTCTTACTTGTGCATGAGAAGGGGGTGTGGGGGAGAAGCCCCTACTGGTTATTTTATTTTGAATTATTATAGCCCCCCCCCCCCAAAATTCAACCGAATGTCCGCCTATGTAAGTGATATAATATCGTAAATTTAATAACAATATATATTAGTGCATGTTTGTGTGATAATTATGATCAGAATAACTAACCTTAATAATTATGTGAAAACATCATTAATACAATGCAATTGTTTATTGTTCTTACATTTTTATTTGTTTACTCTGCGACACATACAATTTTAGTTTACCACAAATTATATGATAGTTTGACTAGTACTTGCCATATTTATCATGATGACTATTATTTCAGATGGATGTATACATTAAAATGTGTGTCTCTAGCACTTTCAGTAGAATCCAGGAGAGACCGAGTGATAATTAATCAGATGGAATCTCTTGCGGATATGTTTCGAATGGAATTCCAAAATGATATGAATGCTGTAAACACTGATTTAAAATATTCAAAACAATATAGAATTACGAAATATTTCGTTAAAGATTTGGAGAATGTTCCTTTAAAATATAGGTACGTGATTACTAGGTGAATTTAGTTATCGCATTTTAGCAATAATATAAAAAAAGAGCGAAACTCCTAAGTCAGGTGAAACTATACAGTCGGATGAAGTACAAAAACGGGTGAATGATATTGTTACATTGAAATTTAAAACCTATGTTCCATTACTCTCGAATAAACGATTTTGAGTGAAATCAAAAGGTGGATAAATGTGTAAATCACCAACTTATTATAATTACTTATAAAGAAAAAACTGACTCTTACTATGGTTGGGACATATAGAGATATTATTGTTATGTTCATAAAATTGATTTAACGTGTAATTCTTATTTATCTTAAGGTACACAAAAAAATGGTCAGAAGTAGAGGTTCCCGTTTATTCACATAGTGATCGGCTCATTAATGAAATTAACATTGCATTTTCAATGTGTGCACAGCGATTTATTACGGACCCAATGCATAGTGTTTATCATTATGGATGGAATAACTAAGTAATTACATTAGATTGCTAAACATAAACATGGTAAAATATAATTCGCGAGCACGAGGTATATCCGATACTTTTTATTTAAAATAAAATCTTACAGCTTGTTTTTAGAATTTTGAAAAAATTTATTTTGGCTTTATTTAAACTTTAAATTTAAGTAAAAATATTTAGAACCATAATATTGGTTTCGATTTTTAATTATATGTAATAGAAATACCACACGATTTAGTTTATGTGTAACATAGATAAAAAAAATAAAAATATTTAAGAATTAAATGGTGTAATATAAAAAACAATTTAAAATCTTCAAAATATTTACTTTCTTGCTTTAAAAATGTATACATATTTCGACAATTATTATTATTTTTTAATTTATTTTTATTTTTACGTTTTCCAAATTCAATTGTGTATAGATTTGAATTTTAAACATTAGCATATTAGATATCAATGGTCAACTAAAAAAGTTACTATATTTAAATTAGCAGTATTAAATTTACAGAGAACAATAACAAATTTTTACATTATACAAATAAGTTACACATTATTTATATTTATGATATTAATTTTGTTATAGTGGAATAAATGCAATATACATTGATATAATTTTTTAAAAAAATTTTATTTTACTCTTATTTACTTTAAAGATAAGTTATTTATATCATGAATTCGTGTGGGGTGCTAATATTTTCCAAAGCTACTATTTCATTTTTGTCATTATTATTATTATTATTAATACTATTTTTACATCCTATATAAGCTTTAATATATAATATGTAATTTTTTTTGGGTTTTTACATCAGTTTTAAATTTGTTCTTCTCTCGTATACATGACTTTTTATCAAAATATCTTATATTTATTCCCTAACCTTCAAGCCAGTCTGATTAAAGACTCAAAACGTTTTAACGACGAAGTCGCCTTTTGTTGCGGTTTACACGTTCGATGATAGAAATTTAAGTAAAAGAATAAATAAACATTTTTAAGTTATAAATTGTATTTATTATTAATGAGATAAAACGTAATGGTTGCGAACAGACCAATATTCAGATGTATTTTAGTCCTAGCTTAGCAAACACCTTCACGCTAGATAGATTAGTGATTATTGTACATAGAAATAATTTCAGCTAATAAATGTTTTATGGACTTAAAATAATTTGTCAATAAATAGTAAATATTCAAAGTCTAGTAATTATTTAATAAACCTATCCTCTCATATCCACTCTTTTACGGTTGAACTGACGGCATGCAACAAAATTATAAAAAATAAAATTCGGTCGAAAGTAATTTTTTAAAATTATTTTTTGGCTTATCATTTTTTAGTCCTAAAGTTGTTTATGATTGTTTCATTGAAGATATTCTGCTAAAACTTCCTCCAAATGAAAATATAAAATTGTTCATTGATTATATTCTTAAAACATATATTGCATCAGATTGTACATTCCCGCCTTATGTTTGGGCTGAATTTTCGACAACATCAAATTGTACAACAAATAGTTGTGAATCATTTCACTCAAAACTAAATAACCCGTCTTCCAATATAAAAGTATCTTAATAAATAGTTGTTTCGACAACGTCCAAGGAACGGATTAAATAGTGGTTATGGTTATGTCGTAGTGACCTCGGTTACTAAATTTTTATGTTATCAATGGTTTATTTATAGAGCACCACATTCTGATTATAATATTACAATCCGTCTTTTTAATATACAATCACTAAAATAACGATTTATACAAATTAAATTAAAATTTTTATTTAAATTATTAAATAATATGATTAATTGTACGAAATTACTGCAAAGTAAAAATTTTAAAATAAATTCAATAAACTACCGAATTTTAAATTTATAAATGTATTCTACATAAAACATTTAACTATAAATTATATGCGAAATTCTCCATCCAATATTTTAATGTCCACAGGTATTCGATAAAAAATAGGTACTAGAAACAAAATAATATCTCTTTTTTATTTCATTTTATTTTTTATTTTATAAATTTTAATATTTTAATGTAGGTATGATATGAATACCTATTTGTTCTTTTATTTTTTAAATTATTATAATTATTATTATTATTATAAATATTATTGTTTTATATAATTTACTGATAATGTACGTATATAATATATTATATACATAATAAAAAAAAAAACTGTAATTGGAATTTATTTCCGTAATAAAGAAACATTATTATTATTATTATTATTAATAAGTGTAATTACTTAATTCATTTATTTTTTTCCTTATAACCATAATATTAGGTACTTAGTTTTGTTAATAATTATTAAATCAAGAAAAAAAATTTGTTTATAATCAAAATTATGAAGATATTTATTTTTCGACCATGGGCGTATTTTAGGGGGGGGGGCAAAGGGGCTATTGCCCCTCTGAATCCGTATTTAAGGAATTGATAATATGTGAGATACAAATTTAAATTTTTTTTAATGTGAACCATTTTATAACGAAATCAAATTACGCGTGGCTGTGAATACTGGATTGTGATTTTTGTCGAGTCCATACCACACCGGCCGCGGCGTTGCGATTCCGTTACGCGTTGTCTGTTATATACCGAGCTCGTGACGCGCAGTGGCCGGAAAACGATCACTGCAAATCCGCAAGAAAGGGCAACGGTTAGTCGTAATGGTATCACACAACAACACGTGTTACACATCCGTAGTCGTACGCAGACCTGTATTTCAGGAGCTGCTTACAATACTATTGGGCCCTACATCAACAAAGCTTGTAGGCATATTTAATAAACTATAACTTATGGATAATCGAACAAGCAAAACTTTAATGTTTTTAATGAAAATCGCGATAATCATATTAGTCCCGAAGAATGTGTTTTCCTCGACTCCCGTATAATTTTTGTTTAAATAGCTTCAATTGTTTATGATTTGGACTTTTCTAGTCGATTGTAACTGATGTATTATCATAACAAGATTTTACACGGAAATTTAGAACATTTCGTTTTATTCTTTCTGTTACTGAATGTCATTTAGGTATATTTTACCAAATATTTTTTGAATGAATAACAATTAAATTTGAACAACATCGGTTAAAACACGGGCCCCTTACACTTAGGCTTAAATTGTAGGGCTCGATTTACATTATTTCAGAGATGAACACCAGGAACCCCCCCTCCCATCGTGCGCATGCCTACGGTTACACCATCGTGTGACGACAGCTAACGAGCGTACTTCGATATGAAACGAAATCGCCAAGAATTCGTTATCGCTGCCGCCGCCTCGGTGATGCTGATAATAATACTCATAACGTGCATACACAGTGCACACCGTCCGTTGCGTCCAGTTCACCCGACGAACGCTTCACGTCGCCACGCACGACTTCTCGGTCCGCGCGTTTTCGGTATTGCGTGTCCGTACATCAGCGGCGGCGCAACGGGTCCGAGTACCTGAGGCACTTGTAGACGTGCGACCCTACGCCCCCCCCCACCACAACGACCGGTGTTTGCCGCGGCAGCAGTACGCCGGCTACATGACGGTCGGAAAGATGTTGAGCCGCAAGAAGACGATGGCGGTCGTGGTGCGCGAGACTTCCATGTTGGACAGGGTGCTGACCATCACCGATCTGACCGCATTGGGCGTCGGTAGTACTATCGGCGTGGGTGTGTACGTGTTGCCCGGCGCCCTCTCCAAGTACGTGGCTGGTCCCGCGGTCGTCTTATCGTTTTTCTTCGCGGCCGTCGCGTCCGTGTTTGCCGGTAGGTGACGAAAAAAAAAAAAACTATAAAATACATACTAATCATAGTCGACTAGATTAGCGTTTCTAGGCCATTTTCACGTCGCTACTGCCAAAATAAGTGAAATGTAAAATCACTCTCCTCGCGGAATCCCTCTACCACATTATTATAAAAACTAATTTATTGGTTTTACCAGTTACAAAATATATCGTTAACCATTATCAACACAAAATACGAATTTTTGAATTGCTAGATGAATGAAATTAAGTTTATAGTGTATTTTTACTATAAACTAACTTTTTCGTTCTTATCATTATGGTTGCGTACTATTTTTTTAATTTTTATGTAAATAAAAGGTTGTTTTCTTACACCAGCTTTTAATTATTTCTGGTTGATGCAACTCCTCATCAAAGGGTTCGTGACACTCACGTTGAAAAATTCTGGACTTGATAAAACGTAATAGTTTGATAAGTATAAACGGGATTATTGACTCCAACCGAAAGACTTTTTTTCCCTAAAAACCTTTGTGAAAATTAGTAAAACACACCTCTTTAAATTATCAAACTTACTCGTATGTATGATTTTCAATCTTTTGACTTAAATTTTCATCTCGAAGAGTGTTGATTCAGGAAAATACAATGCTATAAGGGAGGTAAAATAAGGTAGTTCACATATAATTTTTTTACATTATGCGTAAAGGTTTTAAAATTTCTAACTTTCCTAGATTCCAGAATTAGACTGTAGTAAAACTACACTAAAATACTAGGCTAAAATAATAGATTTAGAAGATATAATTTATTATTTTGTAAATGGTTTATTCTTTAGACTTTAGAGTCTATGATATTTAGTCTTTAGATTTTTTTATAAAATAATTATTTTAAATTCCAAATGAAACGGAGAAATGTATTGATTTTACTATTATGTGATTTTTTTATGTCTGTGTACACGATTTCGATCAGAAATATGTAGTATATTAAGAATTAATTGATAAAACAGTACTTTATACTTGTTAGCTAATAATTATATAAGACATGTTGTGACCTCTTTCAGTTTGCTGCCGGGGCTATAGCCACTCCCCTTTATCCAGCCCTAATCACAATCATGAAATATTTCTGAAAGGAATTGTTGTCCAAATTGTATTTTTTAAAGGGTTTTATCACGAATTTTTCATCAGTTTTCTAAAAAATTGTGAAAAACTATCCAAAACTATAGTAAAATTTAGCTACATTTTCGGCATACCGGTTTTCAGCCAAATTTAATTTTTGCTTTCACCATATTTCAGAAAATAATGACTGTAGTTTTAAATTTAAATTTAAATTTTTAATTTTTAATATCGACAGAAATTGACATATCTAGTTATTACTGGACATTTTTTTTTTTTATAATTGATCTAAATCTTCGACAGCTAAGCCTCATTATCTTTAGATTTGTTTTAACATTATAATATTATTATAAATACAATTGGCTTATTTTAAAAATTAACTTATAGCCAGGCGTGGTCAACGGGTTATAACCTCCCCCCTCCTAAATGTCCCAAATTAAAATTAAATTGGTTTGTCACTGTTGTATGAAAATCCATTACAATCTAAACCGTTAGTATTTTGATCCTTGGATCCGGAATTGGTAATGCACCACACGGATATACTTTGAACCCAACAATGTTGCTAGTCCTATATCGATTGTATAAATATGTTACATTTGTATACATTTACAAGCATTTGAAAGTAACGATACAAAATACAAATTATTTTAAATAAAATAATGTATTATTCATGGTGAACTAATTGTTCATTTTTTTTTGTATAAACATATAATATATAGATGACTGGTTGTCGTGCGTATATAATTTAATATTTGTTAATATCTTATCTTATAATGTAATTATAAAATATTTCAAGCATCAAACCTAAAAAAAGATTCAATTGGTAAAACTTTTCGAATTTATAAGCATTATATGTAAAATGGCTCAAATGCCAATTTTAATTTAATTTTTATAGTATTAAACACTAAAAGATAGTTATTTTATTGAAACAATTATACAAGCTTTCCGAAGACAAAATTCAATATTATTTCAAAATTATCCGTAATAATACGAGAAAACTTTCCTAGATAATCAAAAAATACCGTTGTCAATGTACTTTAATCCTCAGGAAGCTAATTTTAATTTCAGATTGTGTATGATGTACTATGTAAAAAACAATGACTTTTTCTCAAAATATGTCAACAACAAATCTTGTAAGATCAATAGGAATCATACAGTCCGATCAATCATGATTTTACTTTAAACAATCTAGTTGAATTTTTTAAAAATCTATAGACATATCAATAATATAATATGTATATTAAATTGAAACGTACTTAAATTATTTAATGTTATAGATAAGAAATATATAATAATAAATACACGAATGAGTTAATATTTTTAATGACCTATTTAAACTAAAAAAATATTTTATTGAACTAACTTTTTAAATAATTAATTTATAATTTAATTTGACTAATCATTTGACTTCATTGAACTAACAACATTGATCAAATTTGTTGTTCTTAATATATTCTCACACGTTCATCTAAATGCGCAATACATCATAAAAGCGTAATCTACATACATATACCATTTGGGAGGAAGACCTAGAAAATAAAACAATGCAATTTACTGTGAACCTTAATAAATTTCCTTTTCGAGTTTTATTTATTATCTATGGGAAAACATTGCCAAAGAATAATCATTTTTTGGAAGTGGGTCGGTTTCAATATTCAATCTACCATATTGAAAACGCTTAAAATAGGTACACAGATAAATAAATAATTGTAATTTATTTATTTATTTTTTTTAAATGTTCATAAATTATCTTTTTTTATAACCGATTGATCAATAAATGCTATAATATCAATATAATTATAACAGTGGAAAAAATATAAATACTACCTGAGAACAAAGAATATTATTTGATAGAATTTTTATTATCTAATTAGTTTTAACATATCAACTTTTGGAGATCAAATATATTTCACTTTTGATAAAAAAATAAGTTAGATACATAATCCTGATAGTTTTAAGATAATACCAACTCAATAATTAATTTTATAAATATTCATTATTCATATTTGTTAAGCAGTATTAAATATAGCGTTAATTAGAATCTAAAGTTAAAAACTATATTCAATTATTTAAGGTAAGACCAAAACACAAACCATGCACTTAACTAAATTTTCAAAAAAAGGTACGGGTACATAGTTTATAATTTTTGTTTGCAAAGAGATTTTCAAATTCTTTTGAGTGATGTGAATTTTGAAATGTTCACGATATTATAAATGTAGAAGGGGTCTCAAATTTCAATGCTTATAGATAAAATATCTCAGTAGCATTTGACTGAAGTATTATTCATTCTTGAGACATTTTTTATAAACAATTTTTGATGCTCAATTCCTTTTCAAAATATTCATGGAATAATAAATTAAATATTAAAAAACCCTATTTTATGTATTTTACATAATTTAATTATTCTTCTATATATAAAAAATAGAAAAAATATAATAAAAAAAAAAGATTATGATGATTAATATCAGACATCATTAAATAGTCCGAATATTCGTGTATTATTAAACAATCAATTAATTATGTTGTTGACCAAAATCTGACGGTAAAAGTCTATGGTCTAATTTTTTTTTTCGTAGGTTGGATTACGTATTTATTTTAATATTTTTAAATGATTTCCAATTTTTCTAAAATGTCTATCAAATTATTTCCTTGCGACTCAACTAGTAAAAATATCCAATTATTTAATTATATTTATACAAATAATTTCACATAAATGTAACCGCTAAGAGTACACGTATTTGGATTATATATAGAAGTAATTGTTTACTCATTTAATTATTAAGGAAACATTATTAAAGATTTATTAATTATTAAGGAAACTTTTACTTTGTAATCAGTTATAATAATAATGACGTTTATTTTTTCAGGACTATGTTACGCCGAACTTAGCAGCAGAATTCCCAAAGCTGGATCGGCTTATTCGTACGCTTATATCGCCGTTGGTGAATTGGCAGCATTTATAGTCGGATGGAATCTATTGCTTGAATATTCAATTGGTATGTAACTACTTAGTTGAGAATAATTCTGAAGAGATATAATTTATTGGAATTATAATGTAGAAATAAAAATTACAAGACCTATATAGTTCGTTTTGTTTACCTATAATCTATATAAAGACTAAGATCAACAAATGCGTCTATTATTTAAATTTTTATAGTAAACTGTGAATGATAGTATATTATAGATTAAAAAAATATATATATCCAAATATATTGAAAGACCTTGTGCATCATCATGGTATAATATACATTATACCCAGTGGTGTATTCGTAATTTTTTTCTAGGGTATACGCTCATCAGATAAGCTTTTATTGGTGGGAGGGGAGGCTAAACCCCTTAAAAAAAAATATTCTACCTATCTAAACTTAAAATTACATAATATGATGGGGACGTGAGATATACCCCCACTAGACTTTTTTCCTAAGAGGTTGGGGGTGTACAAAAATTCAACAAAAGTATTTTTGGGGGATTTGAAGTGGGCGCACGCCCCCTTAGTCCCCTTGGATCCACGCTATGGAAGTCTACATTTAAAACTTATCTTTAATTAAATCATAGGTATATATCATATATTAAACATAATATTTATGTTAATATTTATTTTCATGTAACCTAATATTTTGTTATGTGTAATAACATTTTATTATTAATTTAAAATAATTTGCACAAACATGCGACGAATAAATACTAAGGGACAAACTGAAAACAATATAATAATTAACTATCAAAATCTATCTAAAACATCGTAGACAGATCAGTTAATATTTTAATTAATTTATAAACAGAAATTTTTGACTTTTGATCTATTTTTAACAATTATAATATCCACTAAACAATACAATATCGCACGCGTCCACCGGTATTAAATTCTGGTGTATGTAGACGCTCGGCAGTTTCCGACCGTCTTCGCAAATACTCGAAGTCGGGGAAAATCGAAGTTTATGGGGGCACGAGGCTATTTTTGGATAGTGGCTATAGTATATAATAATAATAATAATAATAATAATAATAATAGTAATAATAATAAATTCTATACTGTTGTTGTATAATGTATGCTTTATGGTGATGAAAAATTAGAAGCTTGCATATACCCATTATGTACGAATGATTAGTTAACGTATACCCATGATAGACGAATTGTTTTAAAGGTATACGCATAATCCAAAAACAGGGATCCGGGTATACGGCGTATAGCCCCATATACCCTCCAATACACCACTGATTATACCATACTTAATACATTATTGATACAATCGGATGAAGCAAAAAATAAATACATTACGGATAGATATACCTTTATTATAACTGTATCTATATTTCTGTTGTACATAGGGCGTGGCACGTTCCACCAAAAGTAGACGTTTCCCTTTTCCACTAATATCCGTTTCCACCAAATGAGATAGATTACCTATACTTTTCATGAGTTTTTCGGATGATGTAAAATATATATAAATATACACATAATATTCCTACAAAAAAATATCAACTAATTGTATACCATAATATATCATTTTTTTTACATTTTTACATCTAACCATTTTTTTAAATAAAATTTAATATTTTCCAATCTATTTTGTATATATTATATAATTTGATTGAATTTATTTATTGATTGACATTTATTGAATTAATAGTATATGTTAAATAAAATTATTAGTGCTTTTAATTTAAGAGTAGTATACAATTATTTTGGTAAAAAAGTGGTCATTTGGTGGAAACGGGTATTGGTTGAAAAGAGAAAGGTCTACTTTTGGTGGAAACGGGCATCGCCCTGCACATATCATGTCGACGGACTTCCATTGTTTATTGATTTATTAACTCTTATTGTTTTCAAGCCAAATATTTTAGTATCCACCACATGATAAATAGTGACATACTCGTATAGTTGATGATTTATAATATTTATATAAATTATATTTTAATATTTATGTTTGTCTATATCTAAACGTCCTAAATAATGTGAATAAAATTAAATGATTGGATACCGATCGAACAATAAATCGATTAATAAATCATTTTTTTTTTATTTATTTTTTTTCAGGTGGAGCTAGTATAGCTAAAGGAATGAGTTTATATGTCGACGCGTTGTCCAACAAGACGATGGAAACAATTTTCAGAGAATTATACGAAATTGATTCACCTTACCTATCGGAGTATTTTGATTTCTTTGCCATGTTCATTGTGCTCGTATTCAGCGGTAAACAAATAGAACATTTAAAATTTCTATGAAACGAATTCTACTTTTTCTGATACGTATATAATATATAATACATATATTATATGTATATCGCTACTAGGGATATCCATTATACCTTTCTTGATTCCAGTATTCCCAAAACTCTTCGCGGTCGGCTGCTAAGACGCAGTCAGTGCAAATATTTTTTGACCTAACTCAATTCGCTTAATGTTTTCAGAAATAAACAATCCATTTATTCTTCCAGAACATTTTTTTTTATTTCGTTTTTCACTGACAAGAACCTAGATTAACATCTTAATCTTTAATGGTATATTTATTATATTTTTATCACCGTTAAATAATAAATTGAGAAAAGTCTACAAAAAAAAGTTAGATACTAATTACAAATTGTTAAAATCTTATTCGGGACTATGGAAAATAAAAATGGGTATGCATATTTCTCAGTAATAGTAAACATTTCCTCGAAGAACTGCAAAGGTATAACTTTTAAGTAAAAAATGTATAATATGTCAAATGGACAATTTTAAAAATAATAAACCCAATAATACATAATCAATCGACCATAATTAAGCCACCACCGGTACAGAGTGTAAATGTGCATAAACGTACATATCTACTTTACATAAACAATTTAATAATTGTATCAATAGTCACGGTCATTAAAGTTTACACACATTTACAAATGCTTTCTAATAATTCGAACTGGTCATTCGTAATTTATTTATTTAATTCATACACATATAAAGTCCAAAACATTATTAATTTATAATTACATACAATTACATTATATCACTTAATGGATGAGTTGACATTTATCTTAAATGAACTTATAAACAAATAAATAAACACTGTGCATATTAGCCCATTTTACAATATGATAAGTCGAAAAATTAAACATCACATAAATTGTTGCTACTGGTAAATAAAATAAATCAACACATCTTAAGTCATATAAAGGAAGCTTAAATTTAATCATGGACAATAATTCAGGGCTATCAATTAAATTATTGAGTAGTTTATAAAAGAAAATTAAGCCTAATGTTTTTCTTCTTACTTCTAGGAAACGAAACAAAAAATCTATTTTGATAGATAATTATATTAGTTTATTATAATTACGGTGTACAAATTAGATTTTTACATTATATATACACCAAAGTTGAATTATTAATAAAATAGGAACAAAGGTGAGAGTGAGATAAAGGGAAAAAAAGATAACGTGAAGATTTGCAATATACAATATATCATACACAATAATTTAATTATGTCCTTATGTAAAATGTTTACGATATTTTGTGCGTTGTTTTTCAAGTTTATTTTTCAAGTCACACACTTAAATTATGTAGCTTTATTGTAAGGTTTAAAATTATAGAACTATAGTAGTAAACTAGTGCCAACTTCTAAATTTCATTATTACATTTTCTTTTATCATTATCAATTTATTCGTGAATGAAATGTTTATATTATTCGATTCCTTCTAAAGTAATTATGTTTATTAAAAAAATAATGTAAACCGAATAGAGATAGCTCATTTCAAAAAGCTAGAGCATTGTTGTTCGTTGTTTACATTGATGTTTACACATCAAAAGCTTAAGATTATCGAATGTAATATTTCATAAGTTAATTTACTAACTGCAGTTTGCGCTACATGTATATGTATTTAGTGGTATCTAAGATACCATATTGCGTCACTATAAAAGGCACAATGATGAGTCATGATTCATGGAAAAACGTATACTATCAATATAATGACATTTAATTTAGTTACAATATTATGATAGAAAAAATCTTAAATTTGTAATCGAAGGTCCTAAAACACCATATAGCGTTTGGTTTATCAGAATAAATAAAACAAAATAATTGTTTATTTACTAACAATATCGTACCTATTATTGTAGTTCATAGTTTGCACTTATGTTCAAACATATGTATTGTACTCAATATAATAAATGCATTTTTCACTATTCACTTAGAATCTAAAACTATGTAGAGCTTGCACTTTTAATTACTTAAAATGATTAAAATACTTAAATGGAATACAATTTATATAAAATAAACCATCAATGAAAACGCACTTTCATTTTAATAATAATTAAATTAAAATCATTTCGTTTTGCATAACCATTGGAATTATTTAAAACTATAAAAACGATGATAAACCTTTACATGAATTTTCATATTACACTTTATTTTTTTTTCAATTAACTCATTGCAAAACTAAAATGGCTAATTTTCAGCTTTGACCTACCAACGTTATTTAATTACTTATCTTATCACGGATTTTCAACAATATTTATACTGGCGTCATAATCTCAAAGCATTCACCAATCACTCAAACATTTCGTGAATTGATTTAATAAAAGCATTTAGAATTAAACTCGAGTTCAATTAATTATTCAAACCATTATTTATGTATATAATATTATTAAAATTTATAAAACCATTGGGAGACCAAGAAATGTTTTTATGTGCATGAAACAAATAAATAAATATTATATCTCAACCATAATATACAATTACAAAAAGCAATTTTTATTGAACAGATTTAATAATTAAATATTAATAAGTATTTATGTATAAACGTTGAAATTTGATATAGTTCATTTAGATTTCGAATTTTCAATCAATTTCGGTTTAACTGTTAATGTTCTTGCTACAGCATATTATTGTTACCTAATTTTTACTTTATGAAATATTATTTGCGATGAAAAAAAGTACATATAAATCGAATCCTGGCAAATTATTTAGAAACATATTTCAATGTTATTTTTCACATTGTTAATATACATTATATTTTATGCGTTTCAGCCGGCCTAGCTTGTGGTCTCAAAGACTCGGTACGTCTCAACAACTTTTTCACGCTGGTTAACTGTGCTGTTATGGCGTTGGTCATTGTCGGCGGTTTATTTCACCGTAAGTGTACTGATACATGACTGATGTGACATATTGCTCACGTCTCGTGACGTACATAGTTTAATAGGGCATACGTCATTTAAATTATTAATTTTTATTTTCTCGAAATTACAGTGGACTTCAAGAACTGGTCACTACCCAAATCCGAGGTGCCCAGTTGGGCAGGAGAAGGGGGTTTTTGGCCGTACGGCGTGCAAGGTGCTCTGCAAGGGGCGGCTACGTGTTTTTACGGGTACGTGGGTTTTGACTGCATAGCCTCGTCGGGCGAGGAAGTGAAAAACCCTCAAAAGTCATTACCGCTGGCCATTGTACTGTCGCTGTTCATCGTGTTCCTAGCCTATTCCGGCGTGTCGTCCGTGCTCACCTTGATGATACCGTATTACGCGCAAGTGAGTCAAATTACCACGTTCACTTGCATCCATACATTGGAATTAACACGCATCTTTTTTAATCTCCCAGAGTTAATCTAAATGGTCATTTTGGTTGTGAATTATTAACTAGACCATTTCAACTTAGACCGATTTATCTAAATTCCAAATTAATACACTACCATTTGCATCTAACACACCGATTCGAATCGAGGTAAAAACAGTAATTAAAAGCAGTGTTGGTAGGTTTGACGCACGAACTTGTGTGAATAATAATATTATAACCGAGGGTGTACATTTACGGATAACATTTTAAAGTTAAGAATGCACCTTGTGTATAACACACCATAAAAACATTTCGATTTATGTCTGTATGCATACAGGATGCAAACATGCCATTGAGCTACGCGTTCGACGTTATCGAATGGACATCTCTGAAATGGGTGATCGGAGTTGGCGCAGTTTTCGGAATGTGCGCCTGGTGAGTATACCTGCCCACAAACGTTTGCCCAACGACGTACCATCAACAACGAACACGGAGAATAACATGTGCAATACATTATGATTTCAGTATGTTCGGCGCTATGTATCCGCTGCCGAGAATACTGTACGCAATGTCCAACGACGGTTTGATATTCAAAAGCCTGGGAAACGTACATCCACGGTTCAAGACTCCGTTTTTCGGCACAATGTTCGCCGGCATCATTACGGGTGAGCAACGCTTTATAATAATTGCAGCGGATTAGGGATGTTTTCCTCGTAGAAAGTTTATTTTTATACAATCACTGAAGTTGATAAAACATAAATACAAGTGTTTCTAAGTAAACAACGTGTAATATTTTGATTAACATACTTTCTAAATTTTGTATTACTGAGTTGAGTTACAAAATAAATAAATGAAAACCTTTTTTGTAGAAAATATTGTGTACTACAATTTATTTATTCACTGTTCTAAAAACTAACTATAGATAAATATAAGTAACATAGCATTATAAATGAATTTAAGTAGAAAATAAAAATTGAAAAATTTTCTCGAAACTCTAACTTTGACGAGCTTTCCTAGATTTTATGAAAAACGATAAACTTATCGACAATTTAGCAAAATGCTTTTTTTTATAAAAACATTTATTTCTACAATAAAGATCTTTTTGATTTTAAAATAACTATCGATTTTTAAGAGAACTCTACAAGATAAAAGATGATGAAATTAATTTTTTGTTATTTCATATATCTAATTAATTAACACGGTTTTTATTGAATTTCAAATAAATTTTGTTTAATTATAATTAGTTTAACATAATAATCGTATTAATTAATCAAATATATGAAATAACAACAAATAAATTTCACCTTCGACTACCTTGCAGAGTTCTCATAGAAATCGATATGTCATACCATATTTTTTGATCCTGGTGACTTGAGTGTGAAAAACGTTCGACAAGCCCAAAATCGATGTCACATATTGGTTCACGTGAAAAATTTGCAAGACATATGTTACGAGTATTAATTTTTAGATTAGAAATAATGTTCTAAAGATAATTAGATAAAACCTAGAAATTCCAAAAGATTCTTCATTTGACCACTCCAGAGAATACACGTGCACTAGTTCCCTCAACCATTTTAGGAACACTTTGTATATCAGTGGCAGATCTGGGAGGCAAAGGGATATTTGCCCTCTCCCCATGGCCCAAAGTCTTTTGTTGCAACCAGATATTCATTTTTCCATTTTCCAAGAATTTCATTGATTTCTATACGCGCGTTTATTGTGTAAAATGTAAACATTATGAAAATACATGTTCACAGAGATGTAAATAATATAATACAGTTAGTGATAGACCACTTCGCAAATAAAAAGAAGCGGCGTTTAGAATTTGTTGTTTAAACTTTAAACTTTAAATTATTTAATAAATATTGGTTTTGCTAAATGGTGTTCATTTAAAAATTTAAACCAGGTATCATATATATATATAAATTTTAATTTATAGTAAAAAAAACTTGTAGTAACAAATAATTGTCCCTATAATTTTTTATTAAATATTTTTAAAACTTACATATTTGTATTAAAATTGGTCTAATATACACTTAAAAATGAAAAAAAATTAAATATGCAAAATATGCAACTAAAAATTGTAAATAATCTTGTATGACTATGAAACAAATGTCTATATGACAGCTATGTTTTGGATGATTATTGAAAAACATGCAAACTCCAAAAAGTTACTAGCTTTAGACTAATATTAAACTAAACTAATGTTATACATTTTTTTCCACTTTTGCCCCTCCCCTCCAAAATAAAAAATTAAGCACTGGATCTACCACTGCTGTATATAAAGGATAATTCATGTTTCCAGGTCTTTTCGCGGCGTTATTAAATCTCCAACAGTTAGTGGACATGATGACGATCGGCACCCTGCTCGTATATGTCATGGTCGCTGTGTGTGTATTGTACATGAGGTAAGATCCATCTACATAAGACCGTAGTCATATCCTATTTGTTCATCCGTGCGCTTGGTCAATAAAATACAACTATGTTCGGTTTTTTCTACATCCGCTGCAGGTACCTAGAACAGAGCGACATGGACGTAGAGTTCTTGGCTGACGAGTACATCGAATCGGCATCACTGACCTCAGTAAAAGTGCGACACACGAGAAAACAGATCCTGATGCAATTGTTCAACTTCCATAGGTTTGTGCGAGCCAACAGCCTCAGCAGTTACGTGGCGTCTCTACAGACCACGTGTTTCAGTAAGCCGACAATCTCGATAATATACACGTACAATACAATCAGTACCGGATTAAACATTTGTGGGTCCCTATGCAATTAAAATTTTGAGCTCTACAAAATTATTTTTTACTTACATCTTTAACATCACTTTCCAATAATTAAAATAAACAGCTTTAATAATAACCAACTCTTATTAATAAATAAAATCATGTTTATTAAATTTTTTTATTTGTAAGAAAAATTAATTAATAATTATTAATTAATAATTATAATAATTATTATTATTTCTATTTTTTTTCAACATAATTTTATTATTATTACTGCATGCAACACCTACAACTTAATATATATTATATTTCATAACGACTTTTGTCCCGTAAATTTGTAAATAAAATACAGGTATAATTAAACAAAAAAAAATATAGTTTTCCATTTTCACAGGGCCCCTTAAATGAGTGAGGCCCTAAGGCGAGCGCCTACCTCGCCTGATGGGTAATTCGAAACTGAATACAGTTTAAACGACAGTGAATTGCATCGTCGTTGTATTTTTCAGCCGTATTGTGTTTGCCTCTCGGTCTCTACCTAAGCCACTGGTACGAGCTGACCACCGTCCATTGGATAATCGTCATGGTCCTGATGGGCATCATGGTACTGCAACTCGTGTCCATAGCTATGCAACCGGCGTCCAGAACACCAGTAGCATTCAAAGTAAAATAAACTGTCCCGTTAACACCAAACTATATATTCTCTCTGTAAACGCGTCGTACAGATTACAAGAAAACCGTTTTAAAAATGCTCATTACGATTTGTTTTTGTTTGTCTTCCAGGTGCCGTTCGTGCCGTTCACGCCGGCGCTGAGTATATTCATTAACATTTATCTAATGTTCTTTTTCGACATTGACACTTGGGTCAAATTCATAGTTTGGATGCTTATTGGTATGTATTTCATTAAACGATGAGTCTGCTCTGTTTGTAAGGTTGAAAATGAAACGCTTACCAAACACGATTAGGTACAGAAAACGTTATGAAAACACGTGTTAAAACAATTTCACGCTGTTCAGTAAATTCGAAAGTGTATATCAACTATAACAAAACTCGGTTTTTATTGTCCGTTTAAACATTTGGCGGACAAAAGAAAATGTAAAGTATTGAAGCATGCCTGTCGTATGTTATCTACCAACAAATTATCGGTGTCGTATACTATATCATTATCGACCGTAAATCAAACATTTAACCACAGCAAAAACTTTATGGGTCCACTTATAGGTGCTCAAACACAGACTATTGAATACTTATGGAAACAAATGAAAGTAAAGTATGGAATCAGAGCTCGTGAAGCGACCAATCTTCTTGAAGGACAATTGCAAGAAAAATGGTGAAGATCAATCAAAAAAATGTTTTTGAATGTTTTTTACAAGATTTAAAAAAACATTTTTGTAAAAAAGTATAAAAATATGAACAACTGTTAATAAACAGGCTATTTAAAATAGGACAAATGTGAACCAACTGGCATTGAAACGTATGCGTAGATTTTTGTAGATAGCATACGACACGTGTGCTAGTACTGAAAATAATATTTAGTCGAAAATGTAAAACAAAAGTACAAATAATAAGTATAAATTGTGATACACATACTAGTGCTGAGCACCAAATCCGGATCAATCCATATCCGGATTGAAACAAATGTTACAATCCGTTTAATCCGGATTATGATATAAATCCGGTTTATTTCAAATTTACTGTATATAAATTATAAATAACATTAATAAATATAAACATTTGGTGAAAATTTCAAGTATTTAATCTTGTTATCTTCATGGGTAATTCTATTATCGCGTGTATTGTTATTGTTCAGAAGTGCTATAAATAAATATTGTGTTGCGTTCTACGGTGTTATCCGATATCAATTGTACTTTAATTAATATTTAATAACAAGCATGAGGGTAATATTATTTTTTTTCAGTACTCACTGTTCTGTAGTCTGTACTCGATAGTCGATAGTTACTAGTTACTACTTACAAGTTACAGCTCAGTAATTTTGTCATTACGTTAGTACTTACTACTTAGTACGTATTGCGTATTGACGTATTGTATCGTAATTTGTATTGTATCATTTATATTTTGTTACTAAACTGTTGATAGTTTATCCTTGCCCATTAAAAACAATGAAGCCGGATTGGATCCGAAATCCGGATTAAATAATTGTAATCTGTAATCGGGATTCATCAAAGTAATGCTCAGCACTAACACATACCGTATCCCTTAAATAAATAATATGAATTTTGTGCAGAATGAATGTTGACATATTTCAGTTATCCGCATAATAATATATTTTTAACCAATCTTTAATCCTTTCTTTTTCGACACCTCTATTAATATTCAATTATTTCGACTCGAAACTTCGTATCGAAGACGCGGTTGTTGTGCTAATGTAACGGATAAATTGATGCTATAAACTCATATCTGTTAATCATTGAACCGGGAAGTAAAAAAGTGACGTCTACAGTACATGGTTAGCATATAATAACCTAAAAAGTATAAATGAAACAAAACGTCAAAATCTACAACTCACTGTATAGTCCCATTATAGTCGTTTAAAATGTTTGTATATTGTCCTATATTGCATATAAAATTGACCAGTTTTATTTTTATTTGCTATAATATATTTTAATTTAAGGTTTATGGAGACAAAATCAATAAAAATGTATGTTCTGAATAAATAAGTTTAAATGTGATAAAACGTAACTTAAATTTACAATTCTCATACATTTTAGCCATTAAAAAATAGTTAAATATATAATACCTAATTTGAATGAATAACTTAAAAATAAATAAATGTCATACAAATATTGAATATAATATTATTGAATATAATATTATTTTTTTAGTGCATTATTTACCCAAAAGTACTACTAATGATTTTTTTAATTTTTTTTTTAGGATTTGCAATTTATTTTGGTTACGGCATTGTGCATAGTAAAGAAAGTAAAGAAAATAATACAGAAATTAATGTTGTTAAACCAAATCAATCAAAATCATCATTAAACGTCCATTAATATAAACATCTAGTTTTAAAAATTGTGTAATTTAGACAAATTGTGTAATTATTACCATAAAGAATATAAATAAAAAATTACTTTTAATAATATAGTTTCGACATTCAAACTACATCAAATTCTTTACATACTTACATACCGTTGAATTTAAAAGTATAAAAATTCAAATTTATAAGTCGTGTAAGTATACATTTTTTTTTTCGTTATAGCAAACAAAACAGGATTCCTAAAATATAGAAAACTTAGAACTTCAAAAACAATACTTTACCAAAAGAGCACATCATGTATTAATTCTAGTAACTTAATAATGTATAGTAACATTTTACATGACCATAAATCTATTTTATCAAGTAAATAGTCATTAAAAATGAACATATGTTTCATAGCAAATGTTAGTAAGAAACAGAAAACCTTAAGTAAATACCTATTAAATAATAAAGTAAAAATGTCAATTCCATATATTTTTCACTACATTTTATAGTAAATCAAGAAAAAAAGATCAGTATTGTGTTTATAAAATATTCCTATAAAGTATAGGTATACTTTCAATTAGCAGAATTAAGAATACTCCAATTCTTTAAATTTGCATTACTTATTAATAAATAATACAATATTGATGATAATGGATAAACATGGCTAAATAATAATATTATTTTGTTTAATACATATTAGGTTTAAATCATTTTCTTATAATAAATAATGAAACTAAAAAATATTCATTGCCATAATACTATTAAATTATCACATAACAAGTTTAATAAAACATTTTTATTTAATTTCAGTAAATACACAAACATATCAAATTTTTATAACTTTTTTATAATATAACTGTAGCTTCTTACAGTGATCCTACAATTTTACGGTCTCTTACTTCATCAAGCCATTGGGCTAATAAAGCTGGACCTGTTTTAGGCCAGCTATAATAATAATTTTCTGGAGGTGTACCTTCTTCTAGTCTGACAAAATAATGACAGTATCGATACATAACTTCACCCATTCGCATCCTAGAATGTCTACGCAATCCTTTCATAACTGGGCCTTTACCAGCAAATGACTCAGCTAAAATTAAAAATAAATATAATAATTTTATTTGTTCAATAGAATATAATTAATACAAATTTGTATTTTTTAAATTTTAATAAAAATATTATAAACAAACACCAATAGACAACTAATATTTATTTATGTAAATATAATAATTTTAATGTTTGTATCTAGCATCAATGAAACTAAATTACTAATGAAAAATTGTCATTACGACACTTTTAACCCACTCACCACTTTAACATACAACTAAATTAATTATTTCTACACACTGAATTACTGGACATTTATGAAAAGAGAACCAAAGATCAGCCAGGAGCGACTCCAGGGAGTCCCTAGGAGCTGTGCCACCCCAAGCTTGTACCGCAATTATAAAAATTGTATATTGTTAACAAAAAATGCATATTGTACTATGGACTATCATACGACACGTACAAGTATGTAGATAGAACCATAGAGGTATGACGGTTAAAAGGAGTTTCTCCATACTTCGGAGACTAAAAACCTAGCTTCGTTCAAGGATGATTGAAGATAGACTATCAGCATTATGGCTAATTAATGTACACGGTGTTTCAAAAGTCTTCATCCGATTACGAACTGATATAGTTCGGTAACAGTTAATCGCAGGTTAATGACCGATGTATTAATGGAAAGATTATATAACTAAGTTTATTTTAAGTTATTTAGTTGATAAATTTGGCACCGTAATGGTTAGTGAACTAGGAACCGTTAGTTTGTTTCGTTATGACGACTCCACAACAGAAACCGTTTTACGTCCTAGGTTTCAATAAGTGCGAGTCAGCATTAACCATTCAACATGATTTTCGAAGAACTTAGGGAACTGAAGCTCCTACTACTCAAAGGATTCGACATTGGCACCAAACGTTCCAAGAAAGTGGTTGTCTGTGTGCACAGAAACGCTCAGGTCGACCTCGTTTCTCTAACGGAAACATCGAGCATGTTGGACAGATTTGGTCGAAGTTCATCCCTGGTCACCACGTTTCCCTGACCTCACAGTGTGTGATTTTTTTTTATGGGGCTACATAAAAGATAAAGTGTATGTACCGCCATTACCTACAACCTTGGAAGAGCTTAAAATTAGAATCAAAGATGCTGTTCATGCCGCTATATCAGATATGATCAGCAACGTTTGGGAAGAATTTGATTACCGTATAGATGTGTGTCGGGCAGCCAGTGGAGGTCATATAAAACATTTGTAACCAAAGTAAATAAAACTTGACTATTTTAAGAATATATTTTACTTTATTTTACCCTTATATCTTCATTTTTAATATAAATATAAATTTTTGAAATTGGATGAAGACTTTTGATACACCGTGTATATCATAAAATAGATATTCTAGATCAAATAGATTATATTATTGATATTTTTGCCAATTATAAAAATAGATGACTTGAATTTGTGTTATAAAAATTGTAGTTTTCTTTTTGTTATAAGATTTTGTAAAATTATAACTTGCTCTCCCATCCCCTAACCAAGACTCTAGAGCCGCTCCTGAGATCAGCAATTATGTCTATTGTATGGCACAAAATAGCAAAATAAAGTATAACAGTGCATGATGAATTATAGAAAAACTGCCAGTTATGATACTGTAGTAGAGTGGGCAACAGAAACAAAAAACTTATTTTTATCTCTCTTGACAGAATAAAAAAGATACACGTACTGAGAGTGAGACCTAAATAAGACTTAGTATTAATCACCAACAGGAAGAGGTGTAGTACATGTACATATGCAGTGTTATTTTATTGGAAGATATTAAGGTTTGAATCATTAGATAATTGTATTCTTATCAGGGCCTTTAATATATCGTTGTACTACATATTTAATAATTTAATTAGCCATAATGCCAAATAAATCATACTTACCAATCCACAAATTAGTTTTAAATTCAACATTATGATTTTCAACTGCCAACCGCTGAGCTTCTAAAATAGCATCTTGTACTATAGTGGCACCTTTTCGACCGACCAATGGCAACTGTTTAAGAGCCTCATCAACCGACATACCACGTACAAAACATGCGACATACCACATTTTTTTTGGACTGTATTTTATATTTAGTTTTTGATGGCAAACAAACTGTAATATTTCACAAAAAAACAAATGTAATAAACAATTTAAATGTTACTGAAGTATAACTTTTTTATTCTTTTTTTCCTTGTTTAACCGACAGCAGAGGAGGTTCTGTTTGCACATTACTACTCCTACTAAGAAATAACTTACAGCAGGTCGTTGTTCTTCATCTGGTGCTTGTGGTGGATATACCACGTCGTTATATGCTAACCAACGTTTAGGTCCATCCTCTTTTTTGACTAACAAGCTAGACGATGTGCTAAAATCCGTTTTTGATGTTAAAGGTATTATACATTTTCGAAGACTGTTCAAGCTTGGCTGCAGTTTACTGTGACAAATTAATGTAGTCAATTTACCGGTGACGCAGTTAAACATTTTACACTAAGAATAAAAACAATTCAATTTAGTGGAAACTAAAAGTACTTATAAACTAAACGCTTCCATGTATTAAATATTTAAATATTCGTAAAGCTTTGAAAATTAACGAAACGGAACTAAACAAATTTTAAGAATTTGTAACAAAATTACTAAAATATTAAGTTTTGGTATAATATTCAGAATACTCTGTCAGTGATAAGAAATAACCATGCGGAAAACAGTGATTACGATTTCCAAAGACCTTGTAATGGCGTGATGTTTAAAATTTCCAGATTATTATACTCTATGGATTTTACCATAATGTACTCATCCATATGATGGAAGCTTGGTTGTGAGACGGGATGGTCTTAAAGGCCCAATAAACCTTAAGAAGAAGAAAAAGTACTCGACCGTAGTATACCATAGTATACTCTATCAATTTTATACAGTTTGAAACGTATTCGGAAACAAAGTAGATAGGAACGAAATTATATTATAAATATAATAAAAACAGAATTGCCGTTTACAATGTTCTACTATTCATCAAGGTAAAAATCTTCGTTCAGCATTACTATTATTCCCGATTATTTCCTACTATGATCTTAAAAAAATGTAGGTACTATAGTGATTACAATTTATACGAAGATTTTCACTGGCAAAAATATGACGGGACCAATGGCGGGTGAGTATTTTTTCATGATGGGTGCTATTTTACAAATAATTATCCTTAATGTACAATTTCAGGACGAAAAAACAACTGATAATTTGATGTTTAAATGTTCAGGAAAATCACTTGTATTGTGTGCTAGTACTTTGTTTTCTCTCTAGAAACATATAAGCTCCCTTAACCCTTGATCCCTTATTCATAAATACCTATGACGATATTTAGCAAAACAATGAATACTGCTTTTTAAATACATTCGTTTTTTATTAATATATAAAACCCAGAGCCGTATTCAATGCAGGGCAAGAGAGCATGGGCCAGGGGCGCAGTTCTAAAAGGGGTGCAAATTTTAACACTTCTTATGTAATATTTTTCATGAAATATGAAAAATATGTAGTTAAAACAATTTCATTTGATAATGTTATAGATAAATTTGCCTCTATAAGGGCAAGAAAAGTACCATTGTAATATTCTATTAAATTAATAAAAAATAAATTATAAATTTAAAATCATCTAACACAATTGTGAAACAAAAAAATTTGAAAAAAATTATATGTTTTTATACTGTATTGGTTGTTTATATTTTAAAGTAATACAAATAAAGTTTATTAGTACAGTAAAACCTCGATAAGACGGAACTTTGGTAAGACGGAAATCTCGGTATAACGAAACATTTTTTTGGTCCAGTTTCAAATTACATACAATTAACTAACCCCGTTAACACGGAAAAATATCATGGTCCCAAGCGATTTCGTGTTATCGAGGTTTAACTGTAATTATTACTTTGTATACTATGTTTTTATACATGCTTTATATATTTCAAATGATTATTTGTACAAAAATAGAACTTTCCATTGGGGGAGGGGGAGTACAAATACATTAATTCGCCAAGGGTGCCATCAGACTTCAATACAGACCTGATAAAACCTATATCATTAAACAATTTTAAAATTATAAACAGAACTATACCAATATTTTACATATATAAATGTATTTAAAAATTAAAGATATTTTTAATATTATTTCTTAATACGTCATAGTTATGTAATTTACACAGTTTTAGTTAAGATTAATTAGTCCTCTAATTGCATTCTTCTTTTTTTTTTTCTAGCAAACTTATTGACAACAACGTTAATATTTACAAGTATATCTTTATGAACATTTAATAATGCTAAACCGTTTAGTTTAGACTCAATTATTGTAGAGCGCACAGAATTTTTTAACTTTCTTAATGCCGAAAATGACCATTCAGTGGTTGCAGTAAAAACTGGAAGCATAGCAAATATTTGTAAGAGAATTTTTATATTTTGGAAAAATTGTTTATTTAATAAATAATTTAGAAAAATCATTATTAAACTATACACTATGTAGTAAACATGGTAATATTCGATATTTAAATAACTAACTAAAATAACTACAAAAAAAGTTCAAAATGCGGAACGGTGGGTGCTTCAGCCTCCAAACACCCCCCCCCCCCCTAAATCCACCACTGGATGGGACTATAATAACGATACGGGTGTGAATATTAAAGATCAAAGCGGTGTCAGGTTCAAGTCTAAATCTTGTCATCCAAGAGACGAAGGAGAAATCGGTTGTCTATTAACGAACGTAGGATAACACATTTCAGCGAGGGGCATGTTCAATGATTTATACAAGCGCAGCAACACAGGTTACATACAATTTTACGTAATCTGTGATACAGAAAAGTACCTACCGTGACGTATTTATAGTGGTAATAGGGTCATCCATTTAAATTAATTTTTTTCTACAAGTATTTTTAATAATAATTTAATTTTGTCTTTTATGAATGTTTTTAATTCTAAAAAGTATGAGATATGTAAATATTTTTTCCTTATTTTAATTATCTTGTTTAATCTACGTTATAACTGAATTTTTGAATAACTGATTATTAGTAAATATATATTCTCCCCCCACCCCCCAATAGCAAGCGAGGTAACTCCACCAATAGTTGGACAACTAACAATACTATCAAATCTTTATTTGAATTTTATTCTTTTCAGTTTAAGAGTACACAATCTGTGTAATTACTGTAGTGGCGATGGTAGAATTTACGTGCAACTCGAACCCAACAGATTTGTATATATTTGTATATACGAACATATATAGTGTATTTCAAAATGATTCATCCGATTTCAAAAAATTATATTTATTGTCAAATTTGAATAATTAGGTTAGGATAAGTTTAAAGTTTATTTTTTTTTTTAGTTTTTAAGTTTGACAATTACATTAAGTTTTACGTATAATATTTACAAATGTTCAATGTGTCAATTACATAAAGTTATAGGTATAATCAGGGGCGTAACTGGGAAAAAATCTAGGGGGGTTATATAATATATTTATTATTACCAAAACCTTGACACCCCTCCTCCTCACCAGTTAAAACATATTTTTATTGTATGTATTTTATACAGTATATCTAATTGCTTGATTTTATATAAGTCTTTTAACTCATTTTATGGTATAGATAAACATAAATTAGAGGTAGCAGGTACTAGGTACCAATATTGTTAAATAATACCCATAAAAGTTAATTAATAAAAGGTGTTATTTGTACTGTTGGAGTATCTGGAGAGGCAAAATTATACCTTTATCTCTCAAAAAATTGTCAGAGGGGGCACTTGCCTCCCCCCCACAATTACGCCACTGGGTATAATATTTAAAATAAAAATGAAAACTATGCTACCTCGTTACCCTTCTCAAGAACAAATGTAAAGAACTCAAACCTGCAATAACTACATTTTATACAATTTATATCTCAAACGATTCCGCAAAATATGCCAAACTGTTGATTGTGCAAATTCTTTGGATCCATGATGAACTGATATTTGTGGACGGTACTCGTCCAATATGCTATACACCGCACTTTGATGGTTTAGTATGTTATCTACCGTAAATATTTTAACTATTGTGTACTTTTGTATAAGTATTCTGATTGCTCCAAGGAATGATTTTTTTCAGAATTTTTTTCAACTCACCACCATTAAAAATTGTTTGGTTTTTAATTTTTGTACATGTTTGGCCGATTGGTAATAAACCGCATATGCTTAAACATTTTTCGCACATCTCTTCATTTTGAATTATTTGTTGATATAAATAACTTATAGTTGACAAACTCATAATAATAATGAATAAATCATAGTAAAAACACATATAGTCGATACGAGTCACCAACACACACTAAACAGGTATAATATATATATAATATAAAGCTTTGCCTACTAACTTACCTAACCTACTAGGGTTCAAATATAATACAATTTGGGGTTTTGTAAAAGCTTAATCATCATAATTGCAAAATGATAAAGTATATATATATATTGTAATACACAGTATACGGATATATGGTAGATATCATACTAAACTATCATCAAATTACGGTAGATAGTATATTGGACGAGTACCCTGCGGACTTCTTACAAAACTTCGTTGAATTTGTTAAACATTTTTATTCAAAGTTCTTGGTCAACCAGATAATTTCTCTTTACATAAGCAACCGGTTTCTTGGAAGGTTTTATGTCATTTTCGAAGATTTTGGGCTGCTGGAGGTTGTTTGTTAAACATCGAAAATCACACTGCACGGTAATAACAGATTTGCAATTTTTGAATCAGAACACACAAATTACTTTTTGTTACTCGGTCGATATTTCGATAACAATTAATTAAATCACGTCACTCGGCCAAGATGCATTTTATCGCCAATAACGATAATTTTGCTTATTTACAAAACCATCAAGAGGGAAATGTGATTTTGAATAAAGTTTTCGTTTTCGTCCATCCTGGTTAGCATTTCTCAACAAAAAGTTGTATGGCTATATAGATTTGAAGGTTTTAATTCTTGAACTACCTACTCTTTATAGGGGTGAAAGTTTAGGTCGCCGTGTAAAATCCAACGTAGACTTCTGGACAAATTTTACGATAACGCATGTTTTCGTGCAAAGTGTTTAAGACTCTATGAGAGCGGCCCTAACAGCAGCGACGTTTTCAGGTGTGCGAAAGCTTTTTTTTTAATGCTGAACCTGTTTCTTCAAAGTTGGTTATCCATATTTTAATACCCTTAGCCAATAGTATCGAATCATGGCGTAATAAGATTAAAAGAAAACGAAATTAACGCTATGCAGTTACGTAATTGTCATTATTTTTATAAAACGATCTTATCGCATAGGCACGTTGTTCCCCATTCCACTGTTCCATGTTTACTAAATGGCATGTTGTCTTCAACTAATAATATTTAGTGAGACTTCTTATCTTAATTACAACTGAGAAAATTTATCTTTGAAAATCGGCTGTTTTAGAGCTCCACTCTGGATAATTTGCGCAACTAGTTACATAAGATTTTATTCGCTGGAATATTATATATTAAGGGATGGCCCACAGTCGATCTCCAGTAAATCATTAGGATTAGTATTTTTATACATTTAATTTTATAGCAGCTATGTACTTGCTAATAATCATTATTTGTATTGAAAAATTTGTCGCCATTTCAAAAGTAAATTCAAAAGAAATAATTTTCTCCATCGAACTTTGCCATTAGATTTTTTTTTATTTTTTATTGAAATTAATATCAAAAGATTACTGAGCCTCATTGAGAAAATCTTGTGGGAAGCCCAGGGTTATCTTAGATAACAAATAATTCTTATTGTTTTAGGTACACATTAGATTTATATATGAAGATAATTAATAAAGAGCTTTTCATAAATAAATCACATAAATAATATTAGTAATATTACAAGTGTTAATTAGAATGTTTCATACAATATTAATTTTAATACATATTCATATCGGAGCCAGTGGGTAATTTTTTTTGAAAATGGTTTGTGTGATATTAACTATATCACTGGGAATCAAGTTAAATATTTACGTCCCCAGAAAATAGAAAACTTTTCGATAACTAGTTTTTATGGGCCAGTCTAAGGAAAAGTTACTGCATATCTAGTGTTGATTTCATGGTTTATAGAATCCGACAAATTATGTTTTTTTTGATATATGGTGATTATTATTTGATATAAGAGTTTAATATTGAGGACAATAAAGTTTTCGAACAGTTTTTCGGTTGGATATTTCCAAATTTTTTTATTTGCTACCTCGAGTATAGTGTTTTGGCATTTTGGTAGCAGTAGTTAGTAGCAATAGTTCTGATGTCTATGAAAGGTAATATCTCATGTAATTCTTTCATTATGATGTAATCTAGTTTATCCATTTCATATCGGAACATATTTCTATACCTAAGTTCTACGTATGTACATGGTGTTTTCAAATTCAATTGAGATTTGAGATATACTCAAGTACTCAACAAAATATTTTTGAGAGATTAGTGTAATCCAATAATACTGGGATACTCACAGTTTTACATAAATAAAATAATCTTGATTTTCTTACGTTTCGTTAATTTTAAATGTTGTTAATTTAGATCTTTATCTTTTAATTAAGTTACCAGTCACAGCATATTGGTCCTTGCTGGTTAAATATTGTGTTCCCTTTTACAGTCATATCATAAATCAACTAAATAATTCTGGCATATTTCAATAACATACAGTTTTAGGATATGTTTAGTGAATACATTCATTGAGCATAAAAGTATCATAACCATTATTTTTATTTTTATTCGATTTTTTTAATTTTAATTCAAAAAGTATTGATTTTTTTTTTTTTTTATTAGCTTTTGTTCTGAATTTACGAAAACAGAATTTTTTTTCCATAAATTATTGTTTTTTCTTAGTTATAATAATATTTACCATTTGTTAAATCATATTATCATAGAACATATTTTTGGAGTTTTATTTTATTTATTATTTAGAACAATTCATCAGTATAAAAATAAATCACAAAAAATATTCATACACATTCGAAAAAATATGAATTTTTGATTTAAAAAAAAAATAATAATAATATATCCATAAAATTATGGCTGATTATGATTGAAAAAATATGTTTGTTAGATTTTAAACAAAATAATAATAATAATAATATATCCATAAAATTATGGTTGTCAATAGTCAGAAGCAAATTTATGGTTTGTCATAAGTTAATGTTTTGACGCTCTTCTAGCGTTTTCTTCTACGATACAAAATGTAATCTTGATTCAAATAAATTATCGACCAATCATGTCACAACGCTACAATACACTTTTAACATTTCCCAGTTTACCTGCAAGTGAATTTTAAATGAAAATATGTTATTATAAATATAAAATATTTACATAGATTATAGTCATGTGTAAATTATACAAATTCTACTTCAGTCTTCAGTGGTTTCTCAAATAATTTAAATATCCTTCTCCCCACATGATTGCAAACTATCCAAAATTTCTCTTATATCTTATATCCTATAGCCTGTCGAAGGAAAATATTTCTATGCCATGTAAATCTAATTATTATACCTCTTATCAAATAAAATAACTATTTGTAAAAGAAACATTTATAAAAATTCAACCATAAAAAGTGAAATAATACCAAATACATTTAAGAGATCAATTAATAAAGTATATTATTATCAATATTTTAGTAAATGATCTTTTTTTATTTTACATCCAAGTAGTAATTAATAAAATCATAAAAATAATATTAAGAACATAATCGAATGGATAAAAAAACAAAACCTGACAATGAGGTATTTTTGACATAAAATAAATATTTTGAACATAAATAGGGTACACAATTGAGTAAAAAAAAGATTTAGGTACACATTCTCTCTTTTTTTTTTAATTCACTTTTCTTTTATTTTTATAATAGTAATAATAATAGTAGCAATAATAATTATACAATGTTTGTTATTACTAAAAAATAGTAATAATCCTTACAACAAATCTAATGTGTCTAAAATAATAATTATAAAGTCTCATTGGCTCGAAAAAAAACCGCCTTTTAATTTTTCCAAATGTTAAGGAAAAACTATTATTATTATTATATAATATTAATATTTCTTTTCTCCACATTTTCTTTTCGCGTTTTTTTTTTTTTTTTTTATCACAACAAAATAAACATTTTTGTGTTAACAATAAACAAACTAAATAACATCATTGAAATTCTTAAATTGAATTCACTTGTCATTTACAAAAAAAAAAAAAAAATCAGTTAAATATGTACAAATAAACAAATATTTATATAAATATATGTACAAGAAAAAAATGGTGAAACTGTACAAAGCAAAAAAAAAAAAAATAATTGTGATGATGGGACAATTATATCATTATAATAAATCTAACATTATAGGTACTTTGCAGAAAATTGTAAATAAATTAAATTAAAGCTTGCATTCTTTTTAGATTTTTTAAACATCTAGTTTTATTTCCTTTAATCATATGTATTTAATAGTGTGTAGAGAGTATGATTAATATAATTTTCTGCCAGAATAAGGATACAAATTCTCAATTAAGAATTACTATTTTTTTTTAGGTAATAGTAAAATGTAAACCTTATAAATGTACTCAGGAACTCATTCGCAACAGTGACATCAACGGTTTGACTAGTACATTTATATAATAATAATAATAATAATAATAATAATAATAATAATAATAATAATAATAAT